AGCACCGAGCCCTGAGGGACACCACTCGTGAATGATTTGTGTCATCCAATTATAGCATCCAATAGATGAATCTTTCAAAAGGCTAGGGGGATGTAGGAAAAAATAACATACCTTTTTCAAAGCTATTGGTAAGAAAATTATAAAAGTGTAGGCACTACAAGATACAAAGTTCAGAATGTTGCAGGGTCAAGTGATGAAAATGAGCCCTAAGTAGACACTAGTTATTCATTTTAGTTCTTATATGGAAATGGACTTAAGAAATTACAAGTTAGTTTCTGAACCAGACCTACCTCTCCCTCCAGTGACCTAAGGTGAGAAACTTATGTCTTGTTTAACCTGCGCATCTCCAATAATTGCATTTTGGATCATTAGATTTTCCTAGATTTTCTATACTATCATGCTCTCATAGTATCTCTTTCTAACCAGGTAGTGATTCTGCCACAATGGTGAACTGCCTTCACATCTTAGCTCAGTCTCTTGACACACGGTGAGTTTGCAACGTTTGTACCAACTGCGAACTATGTAGGTGTCACAGACGTTTTCAGGAGCAGTTGGATTGTCTCTGCATTTTTGATTCCTTATTTGTAATTAATTATATGAACAGTATCATTAATTCAGATAGTGACCTCTATATTAGCAGATTTCATCTAAAGGTTTCATTTTTATGTTCAATGCCAGTCATAAAAACATTGAAAACTTTTGCTGCCCTTTCCAAGGGTGTTTGAAGACTTTACTGGAAGATATAAACAACATAAACTTTGGAAGTGCAAGTGTCATTAACTGTAGATGTTGAGATAGTTTACTGCATTTTGGAAAATTCAGCATTAGAAGTATGCAAAATGTATTAATATATGGGCGCAGTTATATTTGCTGACTTTTCCAGTTTACCATTTAAATGCTTATGTAGATTAAAACACAGACCAGGATAGTTTTCCAGTGGGAGCTGTTTGTGACCTGATCACATTATACAGCAGCCTGACAGTGAACTCATTGAGAACAGCAACGTTGGAAAGCTTCGATAAGGGGCTGGAGAAGAACACAAAAAAAATAAGGAATGGGACTGTGATGCTGGTATTACTGTTGTGTTTTCTAGATTTAGGGTGCTTTGAAGATAGAAAAGCATGCATCCTTAAGGGATTAAGAGTTATTTTTCTTGAGCACACTGTATGGAGGAGCTTTCTCACAAGCTATGACGTTTGCTGAGAAGGCATTTTCTTATTCGAAAGCAGATAAAAAAACCTGGAAGGGCAAGACTGTGGAAGCCAGTTCTTTGTTGTTATTATTTTTTATTAAATACTCCAAGCTAATTGTTGCTTACACCACTCTGTAGACAGGACTGTCCTTTTCAGTTCATAATGCAACTGATACACGTGTGTCTTCAAAGACTGAGAGAATATAACTAACATGAAATATATATATCCATACAACTACTAAAGCTCAATACAAAGTTAGTAATTTTTACCATTATTGTTTTTCAGAACTGTTATGAAATCAGGATCTGAGCTTGTTAAAGCTGGATTGCGTGCCTTTTTTGAAAATGCAGCTGAAGACCTGGAAAAAACTTCAGAAAATCTTAAACTTGGAAAATTTACTCATTCACGAACACAAATGAAGGGTGTTTCACAGAATATCAATTATACTACCGTAGCATTGTTACCGATCTTGACATCAATTTTTGAACATATTGCACAATATCAGTTTGGAATTGATTTACTTTGTAAGTCTTTTATTTTTGAAGTGTGTTTTTTTATAATAGCACCAAACACATTTTAGTAAGTATTGCATGAGTTCAGAGGATGATACTCTGTTTTCAGTAGCAGACATGCTTAGTACTTGATTTCTGGTGCATGTTTATAAATAATACTAATTAACTTTCAAGTTAATTACGGACAATATTTCTCCAAACATTGAGAGAAGTTAGAATTTCCCCGTAAGTGATCTCTTGACAACTGTGTGGATGAGACTAGTTTTCTATAGAAAATTAAGTTATGCTCATTTTTGTTACATACTTTTACTTCATTAGATTAAAGGAGACAACTCATTATTTATTATTCCTTCTGCATTTTTTCTTATATTTGAAAACCATTTTAATTCTTTTGATTTTAATGTTCCTTATTTTCAACACCATTTGGTTTAAAGTTACTGAAATGCCTCCTTGAGATTCAGCAATATGCGGTTCCAAAATTTGGTACGTGTTTGGGTGATCACAGTTTCAAAGCAGAAGATAATTAAAGGATTGATAGCCATGAAAAGACTTTCTTTAAAAAGATAGGGGAGCCTTTAGATCATGTTTCTAGCAGTTAGACACACAGACTGACGTGATTTAGCTTAAAATTCTACTGTGCTAGTGTAATACCCACAATATCTTATTAACAAGTATCTGCTGGCCTCTTAGAATGTCTGATGATCTGTTGGATTTTGTAATGAATGTAGCTGAAAGACCAGGTATCAGAGAAACTGGAGATAAATAACACGTGTGGAGCACTGACAGCCTAGAATGTTCAGTGATACATATGCTAAAAGTTTTAGTTACTGTTTATCAGATTGTGTAAAACAGATGTTTAATATTTGGAAGGTAGCCTTTAGTTGAAAAAATTCTGATAATCTACTTTTTATTTTCTTCTAGTGGGCGATGTACAAGTTTCATGTTACAGAATTCTTTGTAGCCTCTATTCTCTTGGGACTGGGAAGAACATCTATGTTGAAAGGTATTGTGTGAAAAACTCAGAATATAAAATTTTCTCTTCTTTAGGTGTTGTATAGGTAATAAAGCAGTTTGAATGAAAGGTGAAGCTGAAAGAATGTGAGAATGTTTAAAATACCCTGTAGCTGGAGGGTAGTTGCCTATACTTTAGAATTCAGTTCCACATGACAAAACTCAGCACTGAATGAAAGCAGAGAACTCATCATGTATATGGCAGTGTATCTGGAGGGAGTTTATTCTTACTATAGGGAAAGCTAAATTTTTCTGTAGATTTACATCAAGGTTGAAAAAGTTTGACTGCTGCATCTTGCCGTGATAAGCAGGCTGAGTACTAAGTAGGTTGCATCTGTCTCACACTTAAGACTACAGAGAGTTCTCAAAATAGTTGTCCTGAGCATAAAATCCTGAGCATATGTAGAGCATTTTGACAGCCTTTAAGTGTACAAAGGCAACCACTTTAACAGTTACTTGTGTTGTAAAGAGTAGACTGTACAATTTCTTTAAGTATCTAGTTGCTATGATACATTCCAAGCCCTGGATTTTAGATCCTCTTCTGATCCTCTTCTGTCCACCTGTCCTGGTGGACAGACGCTTTCCTCCCACTCTTTATCCATGTATGTGTGTGTGCCAGCTAATTCTTACGTATACTCATGTTCAGTCCTTTATACATCCATCACTAAATTATAAAGCTGTACTCTTTCTTTCTTCTGTCTGGGCTTGAAAAATCTTAAACACTCTTTGACACAGGTCTGGTAGTCAAAATAGGAAGTGCCGTACGCCCTTGTTAGAAACTAGCAGTCATGGTCTGCTCACAGGAAAAAAAAATAGGTGATTGTGTTTGAGTTGCCTTTCGATGAGAAGAGCTCACAGCATAGACCTGCACTTGATTGGCAAGAGCTGTAAGCCCTGGATGGTTACGTTCAGTGTTGTTGTGTTAAGAGCATCGCTTTTTCCTACTGCAGTTATCCTCATAGAAGATGTATCAGAGGAAATGAATTAGTCTCCTAAGGCTGTGTGAGAGGTTTCTAACTGTGGATTTCATTTAGCTTCATTTTCACTACTCTCTCAGGCTCTTAAATTAAGGCTGTAGGCACACATCAGTGTCTAGGTGGGAGGTAGGATTTCAAACACACTGCTCAATATTTCAGCAAAAACAAGACGTGAATGATTGAGCTGACTTGAACAGTTATTCAAGTTAAACAATATTCAGATTTAGGATCAATGGGCAATTTTTCTCCTAGTGAATTTTGGCAGGGACATCAAGAAGTTTTACCTTCCATTGCAGGATGAGTCATAGTTCACTTTTTATAGGTGAATATCACTTCTTATTGCTGAAATAGTTCAGCTGATTCTACAAGACTTCTGGCTGCAGGGCTCAGGACTTAGTATAAGTTGAGTTGCTGCTGCTGCTGCTGCCTTCTGGGAACAAACTACCAGTATCAAGGGTTTTATCCTTTGTACCAAGACTGTGAAGTTTGTTTAGGATGTTAAGAGATGTTTCTGATTTCCCCGTGGACCTTTCTTCACTAAATTTCTCTGTAGCTCAATAAATGTTGAGGACTGGATGCAGAATGCAGTAGTCCTTGGCTACTTTGAGCCCTAATGCTCTGCTGGCAAGTGTAGTATTGTTACTGTAGGCATTCTGGCTAGGAATTCTGTCCCCAGGTGCTCATTTCTTCCCATACACCACATCACAAGTCCTAAATCTGGGGTTGAAAAATCCCTTTTCATACCCTTGGATGTGTCCATATCCTAGTTTAATCAAACCAAAACTATCATAAGAATCCATTCTTTGTGCATATTCTAGCCATGTTTTCCATAGTTTGTAGTTGCACAGTTGCACTACAGTTGCACAGTGGAGTAGTTTACCTTTAATATACAATACCTGGTCTAGTAGAGGTTCGTTCTTTTTAAAAAAAAATAATGTTTTTTACCACTGTAATTTCCAGTAAATCTATTCATGTGAAAAACACAATTTTTCAGAATTGTCAAATAGTTTCTAATGTATTAAAAAGATGAACTAAAGTAGCAATAAATGTTAATGCTGCTTTATAATAGTGCATGCTAGACATTGAAAGCCTAGTGAAAGACTTTTCCTCTCAGGTGACTTTTACTGTCTCTCCTATGTAGGCAGCGTCCTGCACTTGGTGAATGCTTAGCCTCTCTTGCAGCAGCCATTCCAGTAGCATTCCTTGAACCTTCTCTCAACAATTACAACCCATTGTCTGTCTTCAACACAAAAAGCGCAAGAGAAAGAGCGAGTAAGTACCGTTCCTCACACACAAAAGGTATTTGCATCTCTAATAGTAATAAAAGGAAATTGTAATAATGAAAAAAACCTATTCTATGCCTCAGTAGAGAACACATACTATTTCTCTTTCATTACTTGGCATTTTAGCCTAGCTCTGCTTTGTTGAGGCTGTTAATATTGTTCCCTTTCTCGCAGCATTTTTTGGATTTTTCTGAAAATGATGTTTGAATTCTTTTCTGAAGCTATGTATTGTAATATTTGAAGCTTAGTCAAAGATCATATCTACATTACAAAAAATTCTAACAAATGGTACAGCCGTGTTCTCACTAGCAACATACAAGAGATGTGATATCTTATTCATGTGTACAGGAAAATTATCTGTAGTTTCACTTGCTTTTCTCCCGACTTACTCCTTATTGGGCTCTCATATCTTAAAATATTTCAGTATTTTCCTCATTGATCTGTGTAAGAGTAATTTCCTGTCAAAATCATTGTTCCTTTAAACAACAACAGAAAAAGTAGGTAGATCAATTCCATATGCTTCCTAAGTCTTTTTATATAAAAGCAGTAATGGAAAAGCATGTGCTAGCCCTTCCTTCTTGTGAGCTCTACTTTATAGAAGCAGCTGTGGTGGAAGAAGAATTTTGCTGAAGTGACTGGCATTAGATTATGATAGATTATTAATTGCTAAATAAGCACCCTTCAGTTTCTAATACAAGCTTCTGGAATTCTTTCCCGACATTCTTGTTGGGACATAGATGTGCAGAGTTTGTGAACTAGGTGCAGTTTATTTTTGAGCTGTTCTGTTTCTTTTTCCCAGAGATGGATTTAATCTTTTTGCAAACCGACATGAAAGTTGGTGAATGATTATGGAAACAATGGCCAGAGTTTATTTAATAGTGATATAAGCGATCAGTTTTGCACTTTGACATAGCTGACCTGCTCAGCAAATAATTTCAGGACACTTTATGGTAATGCCATATCTTTATGGTAGCTATTGTCAACATCAGTGCTACATGCATGTTACCAGAAAGACATAATCTGAGGCCCAAGTATGCCCTGAAGTCTTACTATAGTTACGTCTACCCAAAATGGTGACAGAAAAAAAACCTGAGTGACAGTGTTATTTGTATTTAGGTTTTAAATGTAGATGAACATAGATGTTTACTTATATGTTGTTGATTAATCTTTTCCTTCTCTACCCTTACTTGCAGTTTTAGGTATGCCTGATACTGTAGAAGAGATGTGTCCAGAGATCCCTCAGTTGGATGGACTAATAAAGGAAATCAATGATTTAGCAGAGTCTGGAGCAAGATACACTGAAATGCCTCATGTAATTGAGGTTATCTTACCCATGCTATGCAACTATTTATCCTACTGGTGGGAAAGAGGGTCTGAGAGTGTTCCTCAAAGTGCTGGGCCTTGCTGTACAATGATAACGTCTGAGCACCTGAGCATCGTTCTTGGAAACATTTTGAAAATCATTAACAACAATCTGGGAATAGATGAAGCATCTTGGATGAAAAGAATTGCAGGTATTCTAAATATTTTTAACGAGTAATTATACCTAATAATATTTAATTACTTTCCTACACTTTACCGAATTACCCAGTGATATGATAATGATAATAATAATAATTTGTAATTAAAAAGAGCAGGAAAGAAAGATAAGGAGTAGATAAGTAACAATAAGCGAAAGATATTTCAATTTTTAAATGTTTTTGTTATTATTTTTATGCATACACCGCACCATCAGTGCAAGCAGAGAACTTTCTATACAACATAATGGATTTTGAAAATATACCCTTCTCTATGTGCTGTATAAGAGCCTTAGCATTTAGTTTGGAGTTGTGAAGAATTCCATTGATTTTCAAGACATCAAATAACTGAGTATTGCAGTAAAGGGGTATAAGTCCTGTGATTACTGTTAATGAAATATCAGGGCAAAAGGGAAGGAAAGTGTATATGGTGAAATAATCCCAGGAGTAAACCAAGTTCAGAATTCATTGCTTTGCCTGAGTAACTCTGCCAGCTATTAATTGAGCAGAAAGATTTCTCAAAATGTCCTGTAACATTTAGTAGCTAGCAAGCTAAAGAAGTTTACGGTATCCAAATTTTATCATTCATCTTACACAGTGTAAGATTGTAATATGCAGTAAGGTGGTTCAAGAAAATCTACGTAAAGGTAATAATTGCCTGCTACATTTTAATGCCCTAGTAGTACTGGGCATTCAGCATTATTTTAAATACTGGAAGGTCTTTAATAATAATAAGGATTCCATTAACATTTACTAAGTTTGCTGCTTAAATGTTGAGACCATTGCTTGCAGTTTTGTAATAGCTGCTTATTTATGTACTAGTATACATATTCATGTACATATATTATGTATTATGTACTAGTGTGTTTATTAATGTACTAGTGTGGGTCTTACAAGTAATTTTTTACTTAGGTGGTCTGCATTTTGCTGCTAATGCTTGTACCAAAACAGACTTGTGATCTTGAATTTGTCCATTATCTTCATTTTAGCTTGCCCAATGCAAAATAGGTAAAGAAATTTTTCCAGAACAGTCTTCTGACTATTTTTGGAAATTGTGTAAAAAACCACACACCCAAAAAACCCAACCCAAACCACCAACCGAACAAAAATTAAAAAAACCCAGGATTTTTGTGAGGTCTTTGTGTCTCAATCCCTACTTTATTTACGTTCTAAATTAGGAACATGTGACTTACCAAAACCATGGTAGTTTAATTGACATAATCTGAATTTGTAGTAACTGGCTTTTAATCTCTCAATACACACAGCTGTTACAAAGCTATATTCATAGATCTATTAATTTTATGATGCTTCAGAAATATGTGAAGCACTGTGACCTTTATGTTTTCTAGAACTGCAGAGTTTGTATTAATATAATGAAAAACATAAATTGTGCATTAATCATAGGATTATCTATATTTTTATGTATATCTATGTTTTATGTATAGTTTATGCTCAGCCCATCATCAGCAAAGCTAGACCTGATCTACTCAAATCTCACTTTATTCCAACGCTTGAGAAATTGAAGAAGAAAGCTATAAAGATTGTGATGGAAGAGGAGCAGCTGAGAGCAGATAGTAAAAGTGACACCCAAGAAGCCGAGCTGCTCATTCTAGATGAGTTCGCTGTTCTTTGTAGAGATCTTTATGCCTTCTATCCAATGTTGATACGTTACGTAGACAACAACAGGTAAATAAAAACTAATAATTAAACTCGTACTTACTGGGTAATATACTGGAGTCCATGATCAGCTAATCGGAAAGAAATGCATTTAACATTATGCTGAGAATCAGATCCTGAGTATTTTAAGATTCTTAACTTACAGGATAATGTACCTGGAATTCACACCTTTTTCTCACGTGCATTTGTCTTACCTGATTGTGTTGTAATTGCACTGTTGTCACTGAGAATGCATATCCTTGCCAGACATGTTACCATGCTGCCACATGCTACCACAGCCCAATGACATTACAAACGAATATGCATTTTGAAAATTAAAAAAAGGCTGAAACCCTTAACCGTTAGTGAAGGGATGAAAAACTGTTGAATAATTCCATTTGTAGATAATGCTGCAAAGATGTTAATTGCTTGTATTATTTTTTTTTATAAGTTGGAAATAAAAAGTGTTTGGGCAACTTTGTGTATTGCCTTGGGATTTGCCAGAAGTTTTTCTCCTCAATCATTTACTGAAAGATTATTCTGTGTCTACATTTTCCCTTCCCTTTGTCACAGAGCATCACCCCAAGGTGTTCTTCAGAAAATTTTCTGAAGTATCTATAGTATCTCAGTATCTACAGTATCTTAATCCTATCCTTGACAACATTCTGTTCACAATCTTTGTCCACTTCTGTACACAATCATTGTCCACTCCTATTTTTTAGTGTCAGTATCTATTAGGCTAGTTTGGAGCATTTTCATTGCATGCATGATCATTTATACTGTGAACCAATTTATTACACTGAGAATTACTTCGTTTTTCTAGATGAATTCAAGGATTTACTATGTCGGACCTGGTTGGAAAGAAACCACTTCATATTTTTTAAAACTACAGATATAACTGGACTGTTGAAAAATCCAATTAGAAAGATAATAAGCAGAAATGATAATGTTATAATTCCTTCTGTGTCTGTCATTAGATGCCCACTTTTTGTATGGTCATATTAATGCATTTTAATTTAGAGACATACCAGAGGGCTGCATCTGTTACTTCATTTGCCCACATTTTCTGCACATTCTTTTGGAGACAGACACAGATTGAAGTTGTATTAGTTCCTGGATTACAAAAACAAGCCAATAAAAGCAGTCTGTCCTTACAGCTCTACCCAGTCATTCATTTCCTTGTGCTCTTCCTTCTCTCTCTGTTATAGTGTTCCCTTCTGGATCAACGGAATGTTATGATAACAAAGTTTTCTTGGGAGGAGGTGGGGTGGGAGGGCAATAAAAACCCCACAGATAAATATTTTGAGGATGAGTGCTGCTCAGCCAGATCTGTTTTCTAGTCTGATTAACACAATAGGCCCGAAGATACGTGTTGTCACTATGGGGTGGCAGAGCAGGCAGAAATAAGTAGCCAAGAATTAGGAGTTTTGTTGGAAATGGATTATTAAACTGCCATGAAATATGGTCTCTCTAACCATGATTGTGGAAAAATGAAGTGATATGCATTATATTCCAAGATTAGATTTACAAATGTAACCTGATCTATTAAATAGAGAGTGTTATATTTAGTTGTCTTGCTTTAAATATCTCTCTTTTTTTCTTAATTAGACCCAATTGGCTAAAGAAACCAGATGCAGATTCTGATGAACTCTTTCGAATGGTAGCTGAAGTTTTTATCCTGTGGTGTAAATCACATGTAAGTTAAGACGTATACTTTTTCTTCCATTTCATTCTGTCTTTAATTGTAAACATGGTAAATGCAGATGAATTAAACTTGTGGTGATGTTGTTTTTATTTTTCATATTTAGAATTTCAAAAGAGAAGAACAGAATTTTGTGATTCAGAATGAAATCAACAATTTGGCATTTTTAACAGGAGATACAAAAAGCAAGATGTCTAAAGTAAGTTAATAGAAATTTGTGAATCAAACTTTCAGCATTTGTTTAGTATGTTGTAAGAAGGCTCTGAAAATCTACTCAAACTGCCGCTGCTATGCCAATAGAAGAAACAAAGTAGTTTTGCTTCTTGATGATAGACATGACAACTGCTATGCAAAATATAGGATATGTACCTTAGAGTTACTTATTAAATGTCTGCTAGGTATTCAGACCGAAGGTTAAAATGAAGATCTTGATCCAAAGAAGTTACATGTGTAAGAGAATATGGGTTGTAATATATGGGTTGTTGATCTTTCAGGAAAAAAAAAAAAGGGTAGACTGGTTTATAACAGCAAGTGAAGAAACATTGGTTTCCTGATCTTTTTCTTGAGAATGTCAATCAGTATTGTTCTGTCAACTTTGATGGAGGAATGCTGCCTTTCCATATACCTCTTTATTCATAAACACAGTGTGCCACATGTGCATTGTTTTTCTTGTTTCTTATTAATGCCCACATTCATTTCTCTTTTGTTCATTTTCAACATGACAAGATGCTGACATGACAGCTGCAAAGTACATTTGTTACCTGTTTAATAGAGAAAATGCATGTTGTCAAGATAAAAAAATGCCACTTTGACATTAGCTGAGGAAGACTGCCTTACTCAGCTTAAGCCAGTTGAAGTCTAATTCCAAATTAGTGTTGGTAAATGTAGCAAAGATCCCTTTCTTTTATTCATATTTGTAATGTTTTTGGAGTAATTCTATTTTCAAAGTGTTCCAGAGAAGTGGTGGGGTTTATTGGTTGTATTTCACTATATTCTGATTGGCTAAACTAGCTACTTTAATTCTAGTTTTAGACAAAAGAGAGTCAGATAAAATGTGCCATCACATTTTGTAATTCTCCTTAAAATTGTTTACTCCTATTATATTTTTTTAAGTTCTGAAACTTGGTTAAGCTAAACCGTGATATTGTAGAGTTTACAAGCAAAAATGACAGATTTTCTGCTCATCATCAGCTCCTGACTGAAACTGAACAGCAATTCATTCTATATAGAAAGTTCCATATTTGGAAAAAAAATGTTTTTTTTAATGTGTTGTCGTGTTTTCAAGATGAAGCTGCTTGAAATTGTGTGATAGAATTGAAATGTTTGTATTATCCTCATTAGTGAGGTGAGTAGTGGGCACAGTCCAGGCTATTTGACTATCGGTTACACAATAACAGAATCAATCACTTAGCCCTCTACTTTTATCGTATGAGAATCACTACACATGTATTTAATACATATACTTGGCATGAGGAGCCAAGAATCAGGTGTACTTTTAAAAAAATATGTAGATTATAATCATGTGATTTAATCTAAATTGTATCTCACTCTGCAGCATTGATAATAGGATAATATGATATAAACCACTAGTGTCATATTTTAGTCAGTCTAGCATGGCAGGAATGACAAATCTTTACAAAATAAAATATAGGTATCCCTCCTACTCCTTCAATTTGGATAAAATCCCTCGAATTTAACATTAAGAATCTGTATTTGAAAGAGTTTAGTTTTGAGATTACATTTTCAAATATACAATGTATATATTTAAATATACTGATCTATTATGTATAAATATATATTTATACATAACATGGATATAGATGCGTATGTCAATGTGCTTTTCTTCATATGGCTATACGGTACGAGGAGCTTATATTTTTTTATAAGCATGTAATTTTTTTGTAATGTATTAATACCAAATCATAGCATTCAAGGACACTGTGTGTGGTTATTGCTAATATAGGAGGAAATAATTGTTTTGTTCATGACTGAATATTTAATTAATATAGTACTGTATCTGCAGGAGTCATTGCAGAACAGCTCATCATCTGGATAGGCATTTGTTTCACAATAACTTAGATGCCATGATAAAGGACGTGAGGGATCTTTCAGAAGTGTTGGATTGGTTTTCTACATATAATTTCTAAAGAGAAAACTGGTAACATTTTATAATATGTAATGTAAACACTTTAACACCAATGCATTCCTATAAATATACATTTAGATCTAAATATTTTTTTAAGACTCTATAGTTTAGAATAAACACGAAATACTCTGAATAACTGAATTTCAGGGTTTCTTACAAGGTTTAATACCTAGATCCTCAGAGAATATTCAGTAGAGGACATTGCTTAGGGAACATTGTTTTTATGATTTCTTGCTTTAATATTAACATTCGGCTCAGAAAGTAGTATGCTAACAGAGTAATTAGCACTTTCTTCTTTATCACTGTTCCTCTTTATTCACATTTCTAGTGGAAGCGATCATATCCAGTGTTTATTAATCATGAGAATGTATAGATAACTGTGAATATGAGCACTGGCTGTTAACAGCTGGCCCAAGCCAGAACAGGCTCTTAGAGGAGTACGGCCTCATGCTGATCTCAGGCTGCTTTAGACAACTGTCTGTCTTACAACAGAGAATTAGTATTTTTCTTAAGATAGAGAATACTGTGATACTGCTAGTGCATAAGGTATGATGTATTGTGTATGGAGCATTCTATATCTCTGCATGCCATATGCAGAAACAAAATATGCAGAGGATGAAGGATTAGGATTACATTACTTATTGGTAGCTAATAGTGGTAACAAATGATTCATCATTACAATCAATAAACTGATTAAGTACCCATTGTATTTGTATTATACAATATTAACTTTGTTAATATTTTCTCAAATATATGTATTAACAGCTGAGCAAGTTTTTTAATTTTTCTTTTCAAAAAAAATGGCAGCAGATTGCTCGAAGGGGAATGGTAAGTTAGAGAACTTCCAGTCTGAGAGAGGACTGGTAACTTAGATTGCATTGAAATAACAGATTTGTGATAGAAGTGTTGAAATGGAGAATTTAAACACATTCTACTCCACTAATCTGTTACTTCTGAACCCCTCATAGGTTGGTTGATAAAGTAGCATTTTGGTTAAAATGCAGTGATGTCATATTGTGCTTCACAGTTAACTGGTATAAAAGACTAAACATATACATTCACATGCACATAATAAATGTGTAATACATATGTGGGCAATTTTTCTGTGTATGTTTTGGAATCTAAGTCAATGTGATTGGATACGTAACCTCAGCTGCTAAACACTTGCATATCGTACTAAAGCTTTATTTGACTGGCTCTTATCAATATCAATTTCTAAAAAGCATTTGGATAGAACTGTTGTAGAAGTTTGAGTCAGTCATAAAATTCAAGGTTTTTTTGTTATGGAACAACATTGTGGTTTACGCCCATTTGTAATATGTAATACATATTATTTGCAATAATTAGAGGATTTCATGTTAGTATTTTCTGCAAGAACTTTACATCTCTTCTGAGACTGTTTCAATTGCATAGAATACATTTTCTTTGGATATAGTATGGTAAATCATAAGTGGCTTACTTTCATGGTCATCTCTAATTGAATATAATTAATGTTTTGTCTTCAGTGTCTATCTGCTGAGCTATGTCTGTGCAGCATCTACATATTTCATGCAATTGAAATTTTCAGTTAAAATTTTCTGTTCTGAATAAGGTATTGAAGATTCTAAGATGCTTAACAATTTGATGATTACTCTTTCAGTTGTCTTTGACTTATAGCTGGTTTTCTTCACTGTGTGATATAAATACAGTAGGACATAAAAAGAGATTTTAATAATAGCTTGGCCTCGAAATTTTGAGGCTAATTTCAATATCACAAGAAAACAGAGTTTCTGTTAGAGCTATTGCTGTTTATGTTTGGGGTCTTTTCTGTTTGTTTTAAACCAACAGTTTTCTACAGTATTTTCCCATGCCTGAACAGGGATGTTTTTGAGCAACAGTCGATATAATTTTTTTCCATTTTACTAAAGTATGCGGTTTTATTATTATCTAAAGATAGACTGACACAATGATAATATGGTTTTGACTGTGGAACACATTTGTTTAAGTATATTTATGGTATTAACATACAGGGGAAGAAAATTATGTATGTATGAGTGTTATAGTTGACTTTATCATAGAGTTCTCAAGAATCAGTACTGCTGAGAGATATGAGCTTAGTTCAAGTTTTCTCTCGGGATATGTTCAAAACAGGAATAAGTTATGCAATGGGAAAATACATCTATAAATGGAATGTTGCATCTTCACAGTAATAGTTTGATTCTCATTTCTACACATAAATTTTCTCCTTCATATTTTGGTGAGGTACAGTGGTAGAAAAGAGCTATTTTGGTGAAAGGGGGAATATTTTTTTCATTATTGGACTGTCCAGAGTTCCAGACACCGTCTTCCTTTTAACAGTATTGGGAAAAGATGCATTAATTAGTGTATCGGTGTGCTTGATAAGTAGATTTACTTTCTTAGGTGCTGAATCAGTAGTAGTGCTGAATAGCAACAGATAAATTCACAAGTTCCAACATTTAATAAGGATTAAGCTGAATAAAGATTATTATATTAAGGTCTCATTTGATTATACACTTAGAGTCTATTGTTTTAGTTAAAACTTTTATTTTATTGTCCTGGTAAAGTTGAGTAAGTTTACTAACTTGTAAAATTATCATCTTTTCATCTCTTTTACTTATGTTTTCTTCCCTTTTATTTTTCTTTCATACAGGCCATGCAAGTAAAGGTACAGGTCCAAGTGCATGATGTGTCTTTGTTTTAGCTTTAGAGATGATCAGGCTCCAGGCATTCTTTCCATTGATCATAGCAGTGGCGTCACAAAGTGAAGGCCCAGGTTACACCTCCTATAAATTTTCTCTGAGTCAAAGTGGCAGTATTTAACCAGAGCAGCTGAAGTTCCCTTTGGCACTCCCACACGTTGCTTAATGTGAAAATGTAGTGATTAGATGTGCATTCTGCCTCTGCTGTCTTTCTGCATTCTGGTATTTTTGCTAATACATTGAAGCAGACATTGTAAAAGCAGTGCTTAAGTAGATTAATCAGAAACATATATTTAGCTTATGATATTCAACAAGAATATATGGGAGAAATGTGCTATAACATACACCCTGTCTGTAGGTGAACTCTATATTGTATTAGAACCAGTAAGTTTAAGTAAAATACAGAATTCAAATCCTATATTTTTCAAAAATTAACATTATCTTTACTAAAGATTTGAAGTGTGACATTTTTCCCCCACCTTGTATGCTTGTGGTGCCGTGAAGAATTTTTAATCAATTAAATGGGAAGCGCAAGTTAAAAAGTGAGTAATTGTGTTTAACTAATAGATCTGATTTCACAGTTTCTATTACCAAACTTCCCCAAGTATATAAAATGGGATTTAATGAATGCTCTCATGAAAATCTTGGAGAATTGAACATTTAAGGAGGGCTGAAAGTACTAAAAATAGTAATTACATCATCATAACCAGTTTTAGCTGATTTTTTTTTTAATTCTAAAATGCTTAACACTTAATTTGATGATTACTCCTTCAGTCTTTCTTGACTTGGTTTTCTTCACTATGGTATAAATACAGTAGAACATCAAACGAGATCTTAACAGCATGATTAATTATTTATAGCAAAATATATCCAATATATCAAATTTATCCAATTTAACACAATTTATTGTGTTTATTCACGTAGGTGCATGTTAGAGCTGCAGCAGACATAATTTTATTGTCATTTAGGTTTCTGTATGTGATTCTGCTTAGGTACTTATCAGCAGGGGTTGTGAATTTGCGGACAGCAGAATTTGATGGCAAAGGCAGAATGGATCTTCTTTCTATGGTTTAAAAATGTTCAGGTTTTAAGGTTCACCTATCTTTTTCATATCTAGTTATTAATCTTCAATGAAGGTAAAGAAAATTGGATGTGTAAAATGTCCTCAAGCATAAAGATGCATAAAAGTAAACCAGTGTATCTCCTCCTTTTCTTTTTTTTTTTAAATATATATTCTATATTTTGTTAGCCCTTATTTAAGATGCATAGTGACGCCACTGGCATACAGTGACACATTGTGGGATTTGTTTGTCTGCTGTGAATGTAGAGTACAAATAATGTCATTATTATAGCCATTACATCACTGCTATTTCTAAGGCACTTCCAAAAGCAAAGCTTTGAGGCAAAGTACTCTTTTGCAATTGTTAGTTCCTTAAGAAAAGAAGCCACATCCATTGTGTGTTCCCTCTGACCTGCAAAATGTTCAACACCAGCCTCATACACAGAGATTCACCATCTGGAAGACAGAATTTGCCCAAATTTACCACTGAGTAGAATATGCACAGATGCCTTTTTTTCTTCCGGTGATTACTGTGATGATAGCATGGTAATGATCATTAAATAATGAATTGTGATGGATTTTGCTGTAGCCTCATGTGGAACTACACAATGCATTATAAAAACAGTAGTTAGTACAACTTAATTGACAGAGGGAAAAGGATGTGGAGGGTTAAATGCAAGCATTTGCTACTTTGTAGTGTTGTAGAAGCCTGGAGGCCTAGTCCTGAAATCTTATCTTAGGCAAAACTCCCCTTGAGTATAGTAGGAGTTTAATCTAGGTACAGAATTCAGAACTGGGCTATTTTTATGTTGTTGTTGTTTACCATATGTTCATATGGTCTAAAGGTTTTGGTTCGTTGTCTCATAAATGAAAAGTTGTGTGTGAAATACTGTTGTACAGTGTCTGTTGTAAGAAGATAGGGCAGATGTTATTCTGTTGTGCTGTTTACTTCTCCGTCTCCTTTGTTTTCCTATTACTCATGGTCTCCAAAGATGCAAAAGATTTAATTTTTCATCCCAGAGTTACCTATATTAATCAAAACCAAAGAGCAGTGCTTTTCCCATAGGCACTAATTCATTGGCATTTTATTGAATTGAATCAAAGCCTTGGTATTTTTCAGTTGAGACAAAGCAGACAACATTCATTCATCCATTCAGACCCTGGATATCTCTCTTTACATTTGTTAGAAACTTAACATAAACATCCTGAATTTGTTTCTGTGACACTGAGAACTAATAGAGTCCCATGAGACCAACTCAGCTTTTAATTCTAGTGTTGTTTTTCATTTGAGAGATAAAATGCAGAGAATATAGTTAGATTCATGTGTATGAAAGCACAGAAAAGAATGTTACTGCTATTAAAATATTACTGTTATTGCAGTTTCTGCATTGGCACACACCAAAAGCATTACTTTACATTTCCCACTCAAGACTGTACACTCTTCCTCTAATGTGGCATTTGTAATTAATTGTCCTACATCGGGAACATAGTTTCCTTGGATAATTAGGGGGAGAGCATGTTGGAAAAGTGTGCAATTAGAGGATTAGTCACTTACTCTTCTATTTTTTTACATTTTAGTCTGGAGGACAAGATCAAGAGAGAAAGAAATCAAAACGTAGAGGGGATTTGTACTCAATACAAACATCCTTGATCGTGGCTGCACTTAAAAAGATGCTTCCTATTGGTTTGAATATGTGTACCCCTGGAGATCAAGAGCTCATCTCTCTGGCTAAGACTAGATACAGCCATGTAAGTGTATACTTTGTAATAGTTTATTGTGCAAAATAAGCAGAACTTTATAAACTGAACTATGAGGCATAGAAGTCTAAGCAGTCAATATAATTGAGTATACCAATGTAGTGTAAGCAGTTATAGCTGCTAATTGTGCTTTTGCAAGAAAAAGTGTTGTGTGTTGACAGCTGTCATGATTTCTGTGTCTTTTTCCATTTGTATACAATGTGCATTTTTACATATATTTATTCATTTGGACCAAATACTGAAATACCATTAGTTAGCTTTAATTCTCTTCAAAGTTTAATCCTTGTTTTGTGGTCAAAATTAAAGCAAGCCTGTCTCCCATGGCATTCTGGTAACTTACATGCTTTGAAAGCAAAAGTACATTTAGTTTCAGTATGAAAATAATAGCTTTTTTTTTTTTTTATCTTGTACGTGTTTATATGCGATGAATCATAATCTGAACTGTTAAATACTTCTACCTTTCTGCAGAGAGACACAGATGATGAAGTCAAAGAACATTTACGTAACAACTTACATTTACAGGAAAAGGTAATATAAAAAAATCTGTCTTAAAGGTGCTGATGCACACTTTTAAAACACAGTAGTCACAGTTTTGTTCATCATAATATGTAAAAAAAACCAAAACAAAACAAAAAGAATGTGAAAAGCTCTTAGAAATTGCCATTTTAACTTTTCCTATTTTTTTCATGACAGTAATTGTTTATTTGTAGCTTTGGCTGGTATTTTCAAGTTTCAGAAAGTTTTATAGAAGTGTAAGAAATTGAGATATTGGTAATTTTAAAGCTATAATTACTTAGAATCAACTTGATCCACGAAGAAAATAAAATGAAAACTATAGTATTTCAATTTCTCTTTTTAAATTTAACTTGCACTAGTTATTAAATAGTATTTGTAAGAATATATACATTTTAAAGTGGCTATGATAAAATAAGAAAAGCTTGTGTTCCTTTTAACACTTAAGGGGTTTGCAAGCGCATTTATGTTCCTACTATTTATATGCTGAATACACTGTAAAGGTGATAGCAAAATTGAGCCCTCATCATTCTGTAAATAATAAGTAACTTAGATCATTGCCTACAGTCTGAACAAAATAAGTGTAACTCATTTATCTGTCATGGGAGATGACTGATTCGTTGCTATAAATTTGTCCTTACATAAATTTAAATTGAACACACTAAGTAATTCTAATGTGTTTTTTCTGTTTCTGCCTTGCAAAATACCCAGAACCCTTGGCTGTAACTCTTCACGTACTGAAATTCAAGCCGCCTCTTACAGACTTCTTAAACCAGTTTTCCACTGTCAGTACAGAAGTCCTGGAAGGAGTTAAATGCAATCCCAGCACTAAATGTGCTTCCTTATTTTTAATGCAGCTAAATGGGAAGCAGATGTCCCAGGGTGCTTTATCTGGTTTCATGACATAAAAATACAGAATCTTGCTTGGAGATTGAGTGCAGTTACCCAACACTGTACAGAATCTAATTCCGTTTTTCTGAGCAGAGAGCAGATGTTAATTTGACTCAAAGTGGACAGATTAAGTGGGAGCATCTATAACATCTTTATTACACTGTGAGAATAATAGCGGTAGTAGTCAAATTCAGTATCTTCATTCAGCAGCTGATGTATGAAATCTGTTGGGTTTTAGTCTGATGATCCAGCTGTGAAATGGCAGTTGAATCTGTACAAAGACATTTTGAAGAGTGACGAACCTACTGACCCTGAGAGAAATGTGGAACGTGTGCAGAGGATATCAGCTGCTCTCTATCATCTGGAGCAGGTGAAAAGTTAAATGTTTGTACTCTGTTTAAGTAGCACGAGGTTTTTTTTCATTGTAGAGGTTATTTCAACTTCTGTCATTACTGAAGTTTCCAGATAAAAATTACTTTTGCACATGCGTGCATACGCATGCGCCTGTGCACATGCAAACGTGTGTATCTGCGAAGTTTTATTGTCTTCTGTTGAAGTGCCTCAGTTTAGCTTTAGGGAAAACTTGGGATCTATTTGCCTCTGTAAAACTTTGTGAACAGTTGCAAGAAGTATAGTATAGAAATCATCATTTAGTAGCTGAAAACTCTGCAAGTTTAGAAAGACGTATTTGCATGTGCACTTATTTTTAATATGGCGGGTTTAGCCTGTCTTCTCTTTCTGCACCTGAGGATGCTGCAGTAAGTTTTAAATCAATTGCCTGATAATTCCAATGATACAATTTAAATACAAAAAGGCATTTGTACTCTTCCCAGATGAGCTTAATCCATTTCATCCATGTGATATAGTGCAGAAATTAATTCACATGAACACTTAAATGTGCATAGTTAGGAACAGACCAAACCAGGTTGGAATTTTAACAAGGAGTTGAACACATGAGATGTTCTGGCATCTTGAGCCCTTCTGTGTAAACTGGAGGGTACCATATATAAGGCCCTTGTATTCTTTCTTACTAACTTTAAAGCAAAAAAAAAAAATCAAAGCAAAAACCAACAAATAAAAATCCCCAAAAGAACATTTTTTTTCAGATGATAGGGAGCATTTGTAACATTTTCTGATTTTCTAACTACATTAACCACTAGGTAAGAAGAAAACTTTGAATACAAATTGAAGAGTTTCCACTGTATGTACTAAAGATATTTTGCCATAGGTTGAACAACCTCTGAGATCAAAGAAAGCTGTCTGGCACAAACTCCTGTCAAAGCAACGCAAAAGGGCTGTGGTTGCATGTTTCAGAATGGCACCATTATACAACCTGCCAAGGTAAATGGCATAAAGGTTTATGTTTTTGTAACTTTTGCTTATGTTTCTGAGTGCAAATATTGCTTGTGTTTATACCTACAAGTTTTTTTGACTGTTGGGCCTACAAATTTTTTTTAAGACACAAAAGAGTTGATTGGTTATCAGCTAATTCCTCACAGTAGCAAAATACTTGTCTCATGACAAATTACCAGAGGGGGAAAAGACCATGGGAATTACACTGCTTCAAAATCAAAATCCTTCATTTCTGTCAGCTGTTACTCTGTATAGTTCCTCAAGGTATCTCTGAAAATTGTTAAGATGTTGCTGTTTCTGTCCTTTTTTGCCTTTCATTGGTTGCTCCTTTTACTTTTTATTCTCCTGTGTTTGCATTCTTTTTTCTTTTTTTTTTTTTTTAACTTTGTGTGACTATTCCTATTGCATGAATGCTTCATGCTCTTTAGCTTGTCTGAGGCAATCTTTAGCTACTACATTAGAAAGGTTAATGCATTAAAGAAGCTATTGGGGCAGAGCAGTGCAGAATGATATTTTGGACTTTTATGTTGCACTGCTTCGTACTCCGGTTGAATGTACATGCCTGAAGCTCCGAGACAAGGCGTATCCCGTGCCTGGATCCATCTTTAAACAGATTATTAAGACCACGCGGCAGTGGGATCTTTTCCTTTACCCTGTTCCTTCTCAGCAAATCTGCTTTTTATTCAAATATGGCCTAAGCACATCTTTCTTTGCCTCTCACTGTCTTCTGCACTTTGTCACCCTTTATGTTTAATATTTTTGTTGAAAGATTGTTTGCAAAGTATTCAACAGAAGGGTTCCATTGCATTTTCAAATGCCTTTATTAACGCCAATCCACATGGGTGATGTCAGCTAAAGGCCTGTAGCTCTGCCGCTAACATACTGGAAGAATATTAGGTTTGCACAAGAGAAGTAAGAAGGCAGTTATACTGTAAAAATCACACATCCTTCCTTTACAAAAAACAGTAGTTCTAGACTGTAATAACCTCTCTAAGTTGTCACACTACCACCAGGCCATCTTTAAAGAACCAGAGAAATGGAAAGATTTAAGTACAACATAGGAACAAACTGGCTAATATCAACCCTTTCATCTTCACGAACTGTGTTTGGAAAAACAAGAGGAAGTGACATGAAGAGCAACCATTTCAGTATAACATTCTTGTGACTTTTTTTACAACCTTATTCTGGTTTTATAAATTCTTAAAACTTTGGAATATATGTGAGCACCCCAAAATGGTTATTCAGATTTTTGCCTTTAAAAAAACCCCAATTTGATTTATCATTTTTGAGGTTGATGGAACACTTGCCAAGGGGAAAAATGGGTTATGAATCTGTATTTTCATTTTCAAGAAAATATGGAATAAAATTCATTCAAGTAGAACATTTACATTATCTGTAATTTTCATTAAAAACTTTTCTGCGTTATAAAGATTGAGGTTGGTTCTTCTCAAAATTCATGGTAGAGGAGTTTACTCCTAATTTAAATATGAATGGGAGGCAAGTCCATCCAGCTATTTCATGCTGTAGATTCTAAAAAAGAAATGTAATAAAACTATTTTAGCCAATTAATTGTGGTGTCTGCACTTCAAAACAAGCAAGAATGAAAAAATACTTTGGACTTAGAATCATAAAATCATAGAATGGTTCGAATTGGAAGAGACCTTTATAGGTTGTCTAATCGAACACCCATGCAGTGAGCAGGGACTTAGAAGTATATTGCTCAACTGATAAGTGCAGAACAAAGTTTTAAAATCCATTAGTTTGTAGATACATGTTTTTTCTAGATAAATCATAGGATTCTGACAGGAAAATAAGGCTTCACACTATTATGCACCTATAACTATCTCCATCATTTAAATAGATTGTGTTGTTAAGACATCTTTGAACCCTAGGGGGATTATTTCAAGTGGTGCATGATTAATTCTAGGAGCTGTGTAAATCACTTTGAAGCAGAGTTTTAGATGCAGCTCTCCTGCCTTGTGTATTTCCTCATTTTAGTTGCACAGTTATATTAGTTCTAAATTTGATGCTAGAATCAATTAATTTAAAGGGTAGTAAGCAAACACTACAGTGGTACCCTTTCCTTTATCCTAGAGAACATTAGTCAGTGAATAATGAGCTTTTTCTTTTGAAAAATTTCTGGACATTTAGGTGGCTTTAAATATAATTTATGGCTAATATCATATTTTAATCTTCATTTTCCTCAAAATACATTCTCATGTGTATCAGTTTTTAGGAATTTCAGTAAGATGTTTTGGAAATTGAAATGTCTATTGATGTGCAGGTGGTCATTAAATCATAGGAAAATGACTTCTGCCACAAATTTTCCAAATACTCCCTTATCTGAGAAGTGCCTGGAGATAAAAAATAGTTGTGTTTTAAAATAATTCTGATTTTCAAAGAAAAAAACATCAGTTAAGCCAGGAAATACTAATTCTTCATGTTCTGTGTTTAATGAAAGTACATGGCTTTGAGAAAGTGTTTTATGTGATAAATGTTTTCTCTGAGATGTGTGTATTTATGTTTGATGTTTTAAGGAAATTTAACTTGTAAAAAAATTTGTCTTACTGTCTGTCATCTGTATATGCACATAGATACAGCGAAGTTGTACATGGCAATTTTTCATACACAGTTTACAAATACATTCTTTCTGACTACTTTATTGAACTTAACTCGTGCCTTTCTTCAATGAAAACCTATATGCTTTTCTTCAGACACAAAATTAGCAATTTCTTCCTGAGCACCTTTCAACGTGTTTGGCTGGAAAAAGTACATGAAAAAACTCAGTATGACAGGCTTATACTCAAGTTAACGGTAATGTAACTTGTGGAGAGCCTCTTGCTTATGCACACACTTATTCCTTCCCAGCCATGATTTAATGTTATCATAAAACATGGATTTGTACAATTTTCGCAGGCGATTCTGATTGGTCAGTTTTTGAAATTTGATAATAAAATGGCAGCAGCACCTCCAGGAGACCCTAGACGCTATTCTGTTATAAAATAACAATTAATGTGCACAGTGTGTTTAAATAAGTCATAGTATATACAGCCAATTTGTATGGCTTTTATTAGTGGTGCAGGATAAAAGTAAATGAAAAGGCTGTATGAACAACTTCTGTAAGCTCATGTAGTGGATCTGAATAAAATTTTCCCCCAGATGTAAAGATGGAATGGTTTGGCATTACCATGTGTAGTCTTATTGCCATGAGCTGTTTTTTTTGTGGAAAATTAAAGTAATGAATGCTGCACAGTAGTAATTATTATGCCTAAGATTTTTCTAAAATAGTCCATTTCTAGAGCAGATTTTGTGTATTGCAAATCTGGCTTCTCTGAGGACACATAAATGCTACCCTGATCTGGAAGGGAATAAAAAGAAGCCAAGGTTAGGCTTCCCTGTGCAGAAGGTGGCAACAGTTGTGTGCAGATAACGTGCTGGAAAGCACTTGATAATCATTTTGTGTGGATGGCCAACTTCTGCTGTCTCGATGTCTTAAGTCTAGTAACCTAGATTTACACCTCGTAGGTGTAAATTCCACCCGCTCAGTCTGTTCAAGTGTGTATTTTTGCCATGCGTGCGTTAAGGTTCCAGTCAGTCGCGCTGTTTCACATGTGATATACGTTAGCACTCCTGAGGCCTTCAAAGCACCAAGTAACGTACCCATACATGTATAAAAAACCCCACGAAGCATGTTCAAAAGCACGTGCGGATTTGCCACTTAATGTGAGTTACGTTTTGCATTTTGTTCCACTGACCAATCAGAGGATCAGAATTGTACAAATATGTATCCTTACTAATCATTAACCACCTGAGCTGTTATACTATGTTCCGTTACCCCTCTTGATCTCACTTTCACAACCCCCCCAGGCACCGTTCTATTAACCTCTTCCTCCATGGCTATCAGAACTATTGGATAGAAACAGAGGAATATTCCTTTGAGGAGAAACTAGTTCAGGATTTGGCTGTAAGTACTGACATAACTGGGCATGTTTTTCAGTGCCCACTTTAGTGTATAATTTGTGTACCTACTATAACCTATATTTAATTTTTGTGTACTGTATGCCTGTGCATAAACTTAAAAAACACCTTATGCTTCAGGGCATAAGGTCATTTCCTGCTGTAGTCAAAAAGACATTTGCCTTGTGATGCACGCTGAAGTGCATTCAGGTGGTTTATGCCTTCAGACAAACTATGTGATACTCGTTCTTGGGAAGAGAAATGGATTAGATGAACTGTCAGACTATTTTTATCATTATGGTAATTCCTATGTTCCTATATTTTACTTACTCTTTTTTTTTTAAAGCTTAACACAATTGATCCTTTTCCCCTTTTTAAAATTTTTGTTGATGCATAATATTTAATTTTAACATTTTCAGCTTTGATATAAATTATTTTTGCTATTTTCTTGTTGATGCATCATGATGAGAAGTAAATACATATAGCCATATTCAGCAAAGATTTAGTTTACATATATACTAGATAAAAGTGATAGGTAAACTTCAGCATTTTGTTACTGAATACTGATTTGGAAAGCCGACTGTTTTTCTCTTCCCTCTCTGTAATTTATCTAAAATACTTCTAAGGAGCCTAGCTCCATAGTATCTAAACACCATGAAAATGAACATGGATCACGTGAAGATGTATCAGGAGATGCTGCAGTGTTAGCAAAAGTGGTCATGTACTTTTTTAAGGCCCATTGGTATAGAAGATGGTATGATTTTTCAAATCTACAGATAATATATTCTTCTCATACTCTGGACAATTATATGGTCACAGTCTTAGTTTGGCTTTGTTGTTCCTTTCTGAAGGAAGGAATGAGGCCACTAATCAAAACAGTGATTATCATTCTTTCAGATTTACTAGAGAAGTAAATTGAACTTATGTAATGACAATTATTATTACAATAATGCTACAATAATTACAAACCCTACAAAGGGGTGATAACACAAGTAAGGAAGGTAAAGGTGATGCGCTGCTCTTTTGCCAGTGCTGTCTATGTTCTATTTCAAATTGCCTAAAAATGTTTGAAGTTGGTGGTAAGAGCAGTCCTTACATGTGTTGAATCAAGGTTACCTAGACATTATATTTGAAAATATTGTAGCAAACCGTAGTCTCAATAGGATGTATCTAGTGATATTATTAGAAATAATTCCATTTACCAATAACTCTCCTGCTAATAGCAGAGCTGGGAATTTCGTTCAATTATGGCCCACTGGAAACACATAATTTCTGCTGAATAAGGCTTCCCTAAGATTTTCACTCTCTCATTATCAAAACCTTGCAAATGAGAAACTTCTAATGTTACTGTCAAATGTGAGTAAGTCAGATACTGTAACTCCTTCTCAGTCATACAGGTGCATAATGTTGCAGGTTATGCTGTAAGCTGCTGAATAACATGAATACTGGAAGTTAATATAAATAAAATTACTGGAATAGTTTCCTAAGCTTAATTACTCAATTGTTTTCTTACTCATGAAGCTTAATTTGTGTATTCTGATATAAATCTTGAGACAGACACCTCCAAAAAAAGAGGAAGAGGAAGAGGAAGAGACTGAGAAAAATCATCCTGATCCACTTCATCAGATTATCCTCTATTTCAGTCACAGTGCTCTCACAGAGCGCAGGTAAAGTGAGCTGTGTTGAAAAGCACATTGAGTAAAAGCACACAGTAACTGAATTTCTAGTAATGCTACAGAAGTGATTTAACACAACTGCAGTTCGTTATTGTCCAGAGTGAATATTTTTTTTGCCTCTCAATTTCATGGGAGTTTTAGAATCATAGAATGTTTTGGGATGGAAGGGACCATTAAAGGTCATCTAGTCCAACTCCCCTGCAGGGAGCAGGGACATGCAACCAGATCAGGTTTTTCAGAGCCCTGTCCTGACCTTGAATGTTCCCACGGATGGGGCTTCCACTACCTCTCTGGGCAACCTGTTCCAGCATTTCACCACCCTCACAGTGAGAGATTTCTTCCTTATATATAGTCTATATCTAGCCTATTTTAGTTTTCATGCATTTAAACCCAATATAAGCTATATCTTGAGACAAATATTGACAATTTTTGACATTTTAAAAGCTTAGTAAACACCTAATAACCAAGCATGAATTCTCATAGAAACATAAAGTCTGCAGGAACTGCTGTTTCATTCCAAGTACCCATTCCCTGGTCCCTGCTGGTAACAGATGTGTGTTCTTGTTGGTGGTAGTCATTACATTTTATTAAGTAAATCTGAAAATATTTCATTGATGATTAGCATGAATCTTTTTCAGTGCCTGTTTTCAATGTAGGCTGTTGATTAGAATTTTGTATGAGTACTCTGGTGCTTCATATACTTTTTTTACTAAATGACTAATATAATCTTGCCATCTGACAGTTATAATTATTCTGTCTTATATGTCCATAATACTTCTCTGCACCTGCACCAGACAGTGATCCTTACTTAGCCAACATGACTAAGTTGGATGTCCAAATATACCTCTAAATTGTTTAATTAAAAAGTCAGAGACTTTGTTTGAGGTAAGAAAATACATCTGTATTTTGAGGTAAGAAAATACATCTGTATTTTGTAACAACATTTCAAGTAGACATGTACCTACTGTAATAAAATAGCCTTTAATAAATATAGCAATTAAATATTAGTAGGTGTGTGACATCTTCTTACTGCATAATAAAATAATTTTAAATATTTTTTACACTTCATAGCAAACTAGAAGATGATCCTTTATACATTGCCTATTCCGCCATGATGGCAAAGGTAAGTACATCCTTTCTGGCCCTCACTCTAGTCAAGTGCTCTCCATTAATTTCAGATGCTTTTTAAAGCTTTTCATTCTGTTTCGTACATGGACTGCTTTATACTAGTAATTTCTGCATTTTTAATGCAGCAAATGCTATTCAGAATTATATATAATAGGAAATTTCATACATTAGAATAATACTATGAAATTTGAACAGGTGCAAACCTGTTGATGCTACTCGGCACTTTGTTTTGTAGAGAATTAACTTGTGAGCAGTCTTAACATCTTAGTTATCTTTATTCTTTGGGTAGTTATTTTGGAATGAATATTTGAAGTCTGTCAAAAATAAATGGACAGTTTTTGTAACATATTGATTACAGTTGACCCTCGTGAGGAGAGTTTGTCCGTGAAGGTAAGTATTACGGATAGAGATATGACACAACAGCAAACAGCCTTTAGTTACAGGGTGTGTGTGCAGTTCGATGAATACTCTGAAGTATTCATACAGTAGGGAATATCAGCACAAATATTGTATGAGCACAAATATTTACAGTTACAGTGATTTTAAAGCTTCTTATTGCCTTTAATTATTGCTTGGAAAAATTCCTTTTGGCATTTTTGTAGAAATACTCTAGTAAAGATAGGCATGATGTTTCATAATAAGCAAATCTTGCCATTTCTGTTTCTGACATGAAAAGAGCTGTCAGGAAGAAGAAGAGGAGGAAGAAGAAGAAAAAGAAAAGACATTTGAGGTGAGAGTTTGAATAACATTTCTTTCTTTTCACCTAAAGTGCAAGTACGTTAAATAAGTCCACTAGAATAAATGCAAGACTACCACAGTGTGTATTGAGCTGGTTTACTAGGTTATTCATATAAAAGAAAGATGGTGTTTTCTGAAGTTTTCGAATCAAACAACTCATGGATTATGGAGGAAGATACCTTTCCAGATTTCTCATCTTCCTATTTTTTCTACATCACTTCCAGTCTGTATTCTGTTCTCATTTTTGTTCCCATACCTAGGAGAAAGAAATGGAAAAACAGAGAACTCTCTATCAGCAAGCTCGTTTACATGATCGTGGAGCTGCTGAGATGGTCCTTCAGATGATTAGTGCAAGCAAAGGTAATGTTCTCTGAAATTTAGAAGTATACATGATATATACATCTATACATATATATAGTGTACTATGTCATTATACCTAAGATATGTGTATCATACACAACTTGCATATGGCATATATTGAGGCAAAATAAACATAGTTACAACTGGACTAGGTAAAATTTCCAGACTGTTTTTCTGATGACATCGTTCGTAATTGCAAGTTCTAATGGCTGTACCCTTGTTTTGGCAGGTCATACAGGGCCCATGGTTGTTGAAACACTAAAACTTGGTATTGCTATTCTGAATGGTGGGAATACCATAGTTCAACAGGTAATGCTTTTCTAACTACTGTGAGTCTTTCTTACTTGTATAAAGGAAGCAAGTAATTTTGAGAATTTTAGTGCTTTGTTGTGATTTTATTTTAGTGCATTTAATTTTAAGCTGAAGAAATATCAGGTATTTTTGGTACAATAACAGTATTATCTCATGCTAGTAATTTGCATTTCAAATGCTAGTTCAGGAAGTTGTTAATTCATATAATTTTAATATAGATTTTTTTTTTTCCCTCCAAAATGTATGCTCTCTAGAAAATGCTGGACTACCTGAAGGAGAAAAAGGATGCTGGATTTTTTCAAAGTCTCTCTGGCTTGATGCAGTCCTGCAGGTAAAAGTATAAATTGTATTATTACAGTTAGAGTTCTGTTCACGTTGGTGTCTTACTGCTCAGTGCAAGTAGATTTCTTATATGTAAACTAGAGGAGTCACAGATTGTAGAATTCTTGTGGGAAAATTTCATGAATCAGAGTAACTCTTAAAGTATCCTTCCAAAGGAAAGAGTAACGCAAAGACTGTGTACGCCTTTGAAGGTTTAGTTTGGGAAGGCAGAAAAGAAGAATGTAGAATGTAATGGCACCTTTACTGGCCCCAGATCACTCAAGTTTTCTGTCTGAGCAGTTTTAAGAATGGAGAAAAGTAATCACTGAAGGAGAGACAGACCAGCAAAGCTTTACTAAGCTTTCAGTTGCTGCACATCCCTGATGATTTATGTCATCTCTGTCTCCTCACTGGAGTCCTCTGCATAGGAATCAGGTTTGTTAGAGCTGGCTGCTGAGACTGCAGGAGTCCATTCCTTTAATTAATCAGGAGTTCAAATTAGTGAAGGTAAAGGACTCCCAGAAAGAAAGTGGAGACTCTTAAAGTACACAACCTCCTTTACTCAGCCTTTTAAAGCAATAGAAGGGTTTCGAAGAAGTAGACTGGGGATTAGAAGTGGAGAAGCTGTATGAAGGCAGGAAAAAATGTGAGTGGAATGGTGACCTGTACCGCAGAAATTATTGCTGAGTAGTTGCACCCTAATTAAATAAGATCTGTCTTGTAATTTTTCCATTTATGTAGAACAGTTTAGCAAGGACTTGCTCAAACAGGACCTGCAGTGGTGATACTATCAATTGTGTGTGTCTGTATTGTTCAGGAATTCATTTTAAAAAGTTTCGATAAAATGACTTGAACACTGACATGAGAATGAAAATGATGCTTTAAAAAATGCTTTTGGTTTTAATAATACCACTTGATAGTAGAATATGTGACTGCATCACTGTTCAACTGAAAAAAGAATAGATAGTCCTAGAATTCTATTTGGACTGTTTTAGTGAAAGTTCTGACTGGGTAGTGAGAAGAATCATCATCTGCTATTCCACGTGCTGGGCTATGCCAGATGAGCAAAAGAAAATGCAGATAATCAAGAGTATTTTGACCTTGGAATCTCAGGTTCCATATATGTCTTCTGAATATGGAATCAGAGATTCCATACATCAGACATACATGCATAATATATACAGTAACAATTTAATATAAATAACAGTGATAACTTAATGGGAAACAGTGTGACAGAAATAACTGCAGTAGTGTCCTTTTGGCAGGCAGGTTTAAGGTCAATATAAAGAGTAATGTTTCAGGTTCTTTTTCCACTTTTCATTTATGTTACTGGAATTTAAGTTAGGTAAGTGGTGAGACCTGACCTGAGACTCATTTCTTATCAGAAATGGACACTGAGCCTTTATTTTTATTCCAAGCCCTTTTATTTAATATTCATATTAAATAAAATACGAGGCAGTGCACATCACAGTGTGTCAAGATTAGTTGTTGAAGGCTTCCAGAGATTTCCTAGAACATAATTTTTCATCGTGTACTATAATACTTCTTTGTTTGTTTATTGTGGTGTTCTTTTTCCCCAATATAAGTGTTCTTGATTTGAATGCGTTTGAGAGACAAAATAAAGCAGAAGGCCTAGGAATGGTTACTGAAGAAGGAACTCGTAAGTAGAATAATATTGCTTCCAGCAGTGCTTAAAACATTATGTTTGCTTCCTTCTTTAACTAGAACTGTCATTTACTGTGGCTTGAGTTGTCATTGATGAAATTATTATAAGTAATTCTAGACTTTGAATTCTGAATATGCTTTATATTTACAAAATCTTTAGCAATAGTTGTTTTTAAAAAAATTGTGATTTCTGATATTCTTATCCTGTATTCTTGTTATTTTTCTTTGATCCACAGTCATCGTTCGTGAGCGTGGTATGTTTGGGTTTATGGTTTTTGATACTATTGCTGCAAAAATGTGTTGCAAAAAGAGAGAGAAATCTCTTGTTGCATCTTCCCAGATATCTTTAGGTTGAGCTTTATGGTCTGCAGCAGGTTGTGTGTTCAGCTTGGATAAAGAGTTTGATGCTTTTTAAAAAAATGTCATTTGTATTTAAGGCATGATACTAGTTATGACTAACCATTTACTTATATCCTTTTGCTTTCGTTTGTTTTTACCCTTTTTTTAACCATGGATGCATTGGAGTGCTAAATATTTTGGCTTCGCTTTTTCTGTCTCAGTTTTTCTTTTCATTATTATCAGTCTGTTTCTTTTAAATTGCTTTAATGCTTTTATAATAGTGGGTTTTATTAGAATTTCAATTTTAAAGGTTGCTACAAGATTATGTGTTTGCATCTTTAATCATAACAGTTCTCACATACTCATTGTATTTATATATTTTAAAGGTGAAAAAGTGTTGCAGCATGATGAATTTACTCGAGATCTATTTAGGTTTTTACAACTTCTCTGTGAAGGACATAACAATGGTAAGTGAAGTGAACTAATCTTAGGGAAAATGTGTGATGAATCTATTCTTGAAAAGAGTTGAATGGAGCAGATTCTAATTATTTTTCCTCTAATTAATTTAGTTTTCTGAGGGGAAACCGAGATGCCAACAATTTGAATTTCAGAGTTCAATTTGAATTTTTAAGTCTTAATGTAATTTCAGGTTTTATGCCAGTCATTAATAGCAAAGCCTATTGCAAGCTATGTGGGTAACAATTCTTCAGTTGTATTTGCCTTGTGGTCTCTACTGTAGTGCAGTTTCACCCCCTAAGCATCTGTACCCAACAAGGTACTTAAAAAGAGTGTATTCTCTATGTCTCCGTGAAAATACGAAAATTACCTGGTGTTTTTTATTCCCATATATACTAACCAAGCACAAATTATTTCTTATTTCAGATTTTCAAAACTACTTACGTACTCAGATGGGCAACACCACAACAGTGAATATTATCATTAGTACAGTTGACTATCTCTTGCGTCTTCAGGTGAGGAAAAAAATAGGAAAAAGGAGTATAACATATTTGCCTTTCCTTCATTTTTTTTTTATAAATTCACATTTTACTGGAATCAAATGTGAAAATCCTCTCTTCAGGGGTATCTAAAATAAAGAATTTTGATTTAATTTATTTCATCTCTTGTTTCCTTTTAAAATAGATGACCTTTCAGAAGTCTGTGTGAAACCACTTGTTTGTTAGTTTATACATCACTGTTCACTTCGGCAGAAAGCACAGTTAGATAAAAATGCATGAGGATTATATTGACACAGAAATACTAAATTTTTATCTGCTGCTGATCCAGCTTTTGACGATATAAATGCAGTAAGTAAATACTGCATACAGAAACCAAAAGTAGAAAACGTAACATTGTTTTTTTCTTAGGAATCAATCAGTGACTTCTATTGGTACTATTCAGGAAAGGATGTCATTGACGAGTCAGGACAACGTAACTTCTCTAAAGCTTTGGCTGTCACCAAACAAATATTCAATTCCCTTACAGAATATATCCAGGTAAACAAAATGTTCTGCACAAGGTACTAACCATGAAGTTCTATGATTACATGGCCTGATCATGTACTGTCATCTATTTGTAAATACTTCAGCCTTATTTTTCTTAATTTTGATAAAGTTACATGGCCCGGTGTAAAGTTAATATGAAAACATGTGAATGGCTGCATATCTAACATGATACAATGTATTACTTATGCACTAGATACCAAAGAGACCCTTGGAAGTTTCTCATGTAGTTTCATGGAAACCTGAAGTTCTTTTTTTCCAGGGAGAAATCTTACAAAAGCAAATTGTTTTATTTGTTTTGGTTTGGGGCTATTTATATAAAAATAAAAAAGATGCCTTGTGGGTTTTTTTTAGGGCCCTTGCATAGGTAATCAACAGAGCCTGGCGCATAGCAGGCTGTGGGATGCAGTTGTTGGCTTTCTTCATGTCTTCGCCAATATGCAGATGAAACTTTCACAGGTATTTTCAGTAGTCAAGTAATCCTCTGCATATGCTTATAAATTGCAGTCAAGTGGATGCTGAAAGCTGTGAAGCAGTTAACGTGCTGATACTCGTTGGTCATGCATGGAACTGTTGTAATGTGGAGGCCCAAGACTGAATCTTGGAGGACTAGCGTCTTCATACCACTCCTTTTAGCATTAATCATCACTGTGTACTTAACCTTTTCTAATATCAAACTCACTGTTTCCAGCTCCATCACACCTTTGTGATAATAAAGGTGGCAGTTCAGTCCCTTCCTCCCTCTTGCCAAAACCTGATGATCTGCTTGAGCAGAAGCGCTGTTAAGAGTGTGGTTCCCATATAGTGTAAGACTTCTGACAGTAATCATAATACAATGACAATGAAATGTAGCTGAAGAATATGAACTACATTTAGGCGATCATCCTGCATACTGTTCTTTCCAAATGTATTTAGTTTTCCAGATAAATGCAAAGAAAAACCTTATATTCCATTTATTTACAGGACTCTGCTCAGATTGAACTGCTTAAAGAACTGCTGGATCTGCTAAAGGATATGGTAGTGATGCTCTTGTCACTGCTTGAAGGTTGGAGCTTGGGTTTTTTTACGGTTAAATATGGTTGTCTGAGCTTCATAATGTAAAGTACAATAATTATGTTAATTTTATCTGGGTTTTAATTACCGTTATGGAATGTCAGGAAAAAAAAAACTATTTCATATTTATTTAACAATTATTCTGGAATATATGTAGTAATGAAAAAAAGGGGGCTGCCACAGAAAAAACATATTGAAAGAAAATTTGCAAAACTTTAAGAACTTTTTTTTCTGTTCTCAGCAAGAATATGAAATTTAGTTATTTAAAATGTAGCAATGCCAAATAACTTCTTTTTTTAACACACTACTCAGGTAACGTTGTAAATGGAACTATTGGAAAACAAATGGTAGACACGCTTGTAGAATCATCTAGCAATGTAGAAATGATTTTGAAGTTTTTTGACATGTTCCTCAAGTTAAAAGATCTGACTAACTCAGATGCTTTCAAAGAGTATGACCCAGATGGTAAAGGCATCATTTCAAAGAAGGAATTCCAGAAATCAATGGAGGCTCAAAAACAATACATACAGTCAGAGATTGAATTCCTGCTGTCCTGTGCAGAAGCTGATGAAAATGATATGTTTAACTATGTTGATTTTGTGGAAAGATTCCATGAACCAGCCAAAGACATTGGATTTAATGTAGCAGTATTGCTAACAAACCTTTCAGAGCACATGCCTAATGACTCGCGCCTTCAGACCTTACTTGAACCTGCAGAAAGTGTTCTTAATTACTTTGAACCATACCTTGGCCGCATTGAAATTATGGGTGGAGCCAAGAAAATAGAACGAGTTTACTTTGAAATCAGTGAATCCAGCAGAATGCAGTGGGAGAAGCCACAGGTGAAGGAATCCAAAAGACAGTTCATATTTGATGTTGTAAATGAAGGTGGAGAGCAAGAGAAAATGGAACTTTTTGTGAATTTCTGTGAAGACACAATCTTTGAAATGCAGTTAGCATCCCAGATATCTGAAACGGATTCATCTGAGAGGCCTGAGGAAGAGGAAGAGGCAGAGCCTTGTTACGTAGTAGATATTGGAGATGATGAGGAAGAAGAAAAGTCCCTGGAATCACCTTCAGCTTTTGCAATGGCCTGTGTTGCAGTGAAGAAGAACATTGCGAACTTTTTAAAAATGGTCACTGTGAAGAACCTAAGGAAACAATACAGGAAAGTTAGGAAGATGACAGTAAAAGAGATGGTGAAAGTGTTTTTTTGCTTTTTCTGGATCCTATTTGTGGGTATGTTCCAACTGTTCTTTACTATAGTGTGGGGAATTTTCCAGATTCTTTGGAGCACTGTATTTGGAGGTGGCCTGGTTGAAGGAGCCAAAAATATTAAAGTTACTAAAATATTAGGGGACATGCCTGACCCAACACAGTTTGGAATCCATGATGATGTCATGGAAGCAGAAAAAGTTGAAGGCGCCGAGCATGCTATCAGAAGTGACCTTGTGCAGTTTGTGAAGGGTGAAAAGGGAGAAGCTGACATCATCGCGGACATTTTTGGCATTCAAACCAAGAAAGAAAGTGGCTCAAAACATGGTCATGATGCTGGACTTGGAGATATTGCAGAAATCCTTGGTACTGATATCCAGACACCTTTGGAAAACACTGTTCGTAAGAAGAAAGGATTACAGGTATGTTGAAGAGATTTTGTATTTCTTTGCAGAAAACAATAATGATGCAAATACATTACTGAATTTTCTATCAGTAACTGAATAATTTGCCAGTTAAATGATTAATAAATGTTCTTTTTGAGAACTTCCTTTATAATCTGTACTCTTAAAAACAAACAGAAGAGTTTACTCGACAGAAAAATTCAGCCCAGTGTGTTTAGATTTTACTGTAGTGAATTGTTGTTATTGTTCATTTGGGATTTTATTCAAAACAAAAATTGCTAGCAGCTTTCCAGGCAGAGGTTTTGCTTTAAATCATTTAGTCTTTTTATTCTGCATGCCTCATCTTTTCACAGTATGTTTCAATTACTTCTGTGGTCTACTTTCTCCATAACACTGCCTTGTCATTATCATATTCTATGTTCTTTACTGATGGCATACAATAAAATAACCTTTTTTCCTATTATTTAAAATAATTTTGCCCGAATTTATTGTCGCTTTAATGTTTATCATATAATCATTCTTTAATTTTATTCTGGTTATGAACAGTAATTCCACTCAGCTGAGCTAAATTTAGTTCATCATTCCATTTAAAAATGGCTTAAACTAAATGTCAAAACTCAAATGCATTTGTCATATTTGCAAGGCATTGTGTTTCACTCTACACTTCAGATCTGTTTCTATTTGTTATTCAAATATGTCTTCCCTCTCATCATTAATCCACCTCTTTATGGCATGCTTTCCAGATATTGTCAAGATAAACCTCCATTGTACAACTTCTTAGTTCATTATTTCCTCTTCATTCGTATGTTCTTCTCCAAGATTTGTTTACTGCCCATTTATTTTTCTTATTTACTCCTATTTATTTTTCTTATTTATTTATCAATTATTTTCTCTGTGTGTATTTAAAACTTAGTCTTTAAAATCCTGCCTCGTTTAGCATAAGTGTGCTGTGAATGGGATTTAAAAATACTGGGTTTGGAGAATACACCAATAGGCAATTGGTGCCTAAGCCCTTTGACAGAAGGAGGTAACGAGTTAAGACAGATTTTTGCAAAAGTGAATGATAAATTGAGGCACTTTTGATTCATTTGTGAATCTAGTTTGCAACACTAAGCCTAAAGGTGTTTGATATCCAGGCCCCAGCTTCTTTGCTGCAGTTAGCTGTCTATAAATTGTATGCTGGTTTTTCCTTATCTCAAGGGAAGGCTGTAAACACATAGTTAGCTGGTTGTGAGGTGTGCCAGTAAAGGTTTAATGAACCATCAACTGACCCAGGATAAACAGTTCGAAGAAAACCTTGTGTGATAAAAGTTGTCTAAATATTCATGTTTTTTCACCTGCATCCATTGATCTTGACAAAGTAATTGGGTTTTGTAATATCTGATGATTGCACAGATCTCTTTCAGATTTTTGATGCTGTATTATTCCTAGTCTCATATTTGGAATGAGGCAAACTGATGCTCATTTTCCGCATCATCAGTAACTGCCCTGAGTGTGAGTGACACCGGTGTTAGGGTGTGATCCTACTGTAGTTACCGTCCGCCTCAGCAGGTCACGTGGTCTGCCTGATAACCACGGACAGTTACTGTAAGTTGTTCAGTCAGATGGGCAAGCCACAGTATTGGTAACACCACACAGACAAAAAGCTATCAGCAGAATTTCTGCCATTTTCACTGATAAAATCTAGTCTGGGCTATTTTTAAAAACCTAAGACTTTAAAAGTGCAAAGTGGTATAGAAAATACAGCATGGCAATTATTTTGTTTCTTACAAAACAGCCTCTAAAGTTACCAGAATTTTATTTGAATGGAACCATTCTGACAGTTAAAATACTTTTTGCAGATATCCGAAATTGCAAAAGCTGAAACAGAAAGGAAAGCAGAAGCTGAGAAGGCTGAGTAAGTTATTTTTACACAATGCCTGTTTAATACCTTGCTGCTTCCTAATGCTAGATAATTCGGTCAGAAAGAATCCAAGCAATGGTCACTATTCAAAACGCTTTATGTGTACTTGGTCTCATCAGTATTTTGAAAAGCAGCGCAGTCCCGAAGTGGTGGCAGAGCATCTCCGTGGGCAATAAAATGGCAATCTGATCTTTATGGACCTTGACAATTCTGCAGATATTAACTGTGGGTATTGTCTTTTAGAACAAAATTCCCATAATTACTTTCAAAGACAAACAGTAATTTATTTTTGCTTTTTACCCTTTTGGTCTCCACATCTTTGCTCTTGAATTTAATTTGAAACTAAGGTCACTTTTTTTACTCTGGGTTTGCTGACTACCTCAAGTCTTTTACTTAAAATCATTTTTCTCCCGATGTCAAAACTCTACCTTTCAGAGCCAAACTTTCTGAATTAGAATTCCTTCTAAATGAGTGAGTGCACAATACAGAAAATTGGCTGGTTATTTTTGTTTAAATAACCTTTCTCCTAGCATGGAAGATGGTGAGAAACAAGATAAAGCAAAGGAAGTACAATCTGAGCAGCCAGAAGAGGGAAAAACAAAGAAAAAGAAGCGAAGGCATGGGCAAAAAATTGAGAAACCGGAGGCTGTTATGGCAAACTTCTTCAAAGCTTTGGAAATTTATCAAACAAAGATGCTTGTAAGTTTTTCTTAAATTCTTTGATTTTTTTATTCATGCAATATAGTGCACTTGTTTGATATTGAAGGAAAAATGCCATCATAAAAGGTTCATGGGCATGAGTGTTCAAATGACTGTATTCAGTCTTTTGTGATTTTTGTAATATTTCATTGAGTTATACACAGTGTTTTCATGTGTAACTTCCCCGTGTCTTGGGCTAACAGGACAGATTAACCTCTTGAATACCTTGTCAGGAGCTCCCTGTTTTCCATAATCTAAACTCTAGACTCTGTAATTCTGGTTTTTTGTGATTGTTCTTAAAACGTCAAAATTATGAACTCTGAAGGCTTCTCAAGTAGCTTGCTCCATTATTGTAGCATATCATTTCCAGATTTCCTTCCAGAAAGTTTTGCTTCAGATTTCATTTCAGTCTTCCCTGTTGCAATTTTAAGCCCATTATTTTTAATCCTGTTTACAGTAAAATGGAATAGGCTGCCAAGAAATGCCTGTGCTCATTACAACTGATGTATGAAGGCAACACAATTATGGGTTTACTGTTCTAGAAACCTTGCTGCCTACCTTTTTTATCTTAATATCAACTACGCACCATCTCTAATTTTTTTTTTTTTTTACTTTCAGCACTACTTGGCAAGAAATTTCTATAATTTAAGGTTTCTTGCTCTGTTTGTTGCGTTTGCCATCAACTTTATTCTTCTCTTTTACAAGGTAAGATTATACGTTGTTCTATAAATGCTTTTTGGTTGCTTCCAGAGGAATATTTAACGATAGTTTCAAGGCTTGTTTAATAAAGCCCTTCAAACACAAACTAAAGCACTTAGATACGAAGTAGATGCTATAGATACCAGACATTTTAAATTGTGTAACTAAAATTTGTGATAATAAACCTGTTCTGTATTTATTTTAGTCAGGCTGAATGAAAACAGATATTTTTTTCATTCATCCTTTACACTTGAGCTTGTGTTTCTAGGCATTTTTTCATTTACTCACGTAAGTGTTTGGATTGTTGCTTATCATAGGATATTTGAAATCTGACTAAAATAGCTCAAATGTCAAAACTGTTGCATTTTTTTCTCTCATTACTTCTAAAGATACTCAGAGACTTCACCTGATTATTCTCAATGACCATATTTCTGATTTTTCTGAAGAACCCTACTGTCTACATTAATTTTTGGCTGGAAAGTAGTTCATACATAATTTCAGAATGAGATCGATGTCTCAGTTTAACCAGATAAGCCCATATGTTTTAGTTATGCTTAATTTGTTCATAATTTGTTTTCATGTTTTTCAGGCCTGGGGTTTGGCATTTCGTGGGGAGTGCTTGCATTATTTAATTTGTTTTTCCGTGAATTTAGTAATCTCTAATGAACATCACATGCATTTTTTTCCCCCCATACTGTGTTTCCATGCAAGGGTATGAATCAGTTTTCATACTTACTTGCTCCGTTTTCTTTTTTGCCATTGCCAGTATAATTGTTAGTGACTGTTGTGATGAAGATTATTTCTATGCTGGGATTGGGACTTTAATTGATTGGTATGAGCAGGCAGTAGAACAGAAAGCAAGAGAAGCCTTTTCATAGTAGGCTACAGTTCCTTTTTAATATCACTGATGAAGGTAGTTATACATCCATACTTTAAACTTAATCCTAGGGTTTTATTTGAATCCAATGAGTTGTTTTCAGGTTCTGGTGTATAACACAATGATACAAAGTAGATGATCTTCAGCAGCCTTCACTGATTTTATCACTGAATCTTCACCACCTCGTCCTTGAGAAGAATTAGAATTCACTGAAGAGAACTCCCATCCATAAAAGCATATTTATTTTTTTTTTCCTTTCCTTACAGATCTGATGTCTGTAAGAAAAGCCCTTTTTTCTTTATACTGGAATCCTCTCTCTTTCCATCCCATGTGGTTAAAGAAGGTGGATTTCCAAGGCATAGGCAGAAGTCTGCTTTTGTCTATGCTGGTCCTTTTTCTCCCTTCTTCTGCTTTTCATTGGGTCTCCCGAGTCAGCCAACAACCTGCCCTGTCACAGAGCAAGGACAGAGGTTTGTGTTTATCAGCACAGGTCCGTCTGTCACGGAGAGGAAGAGGTCAGTGGGAGCCGAATAGCACTGAACAGGACTTCAGCTTTCAGATAAAGCTGTCAGAAGAAGGGCGCTTAGGGCTTCTATTTTAAAGGCCAGGTTTTTAAAGTCGTCGGAAGAATTTAGGACAGTGTGACAGCTTTATGGTTTGGGGTATTTACAAAATATTGATTAAATACTGCAATAATTTGCAAGCTCTAAACCTCAGGACATAAAAATTTATGGACAATGTACAAGTTGGTTACAAGAGAACTCTATTTCTAGACTCTGGTAGTCAGGAACAACGTAGGTTACAAACAAAAAAGTTCAGTCCTGTAAGATAACCCTGTTGTTGCTTAGTTCTTCCAAGAAAACGTTTCTGCGTAACTTTTTCATTGTTTTGGCTTTGCTATGGTACTGCTAAAGGAGAGATTTGTAAACTGTCATATGCCTGTACTTGTTTTTTCTAGATTCTCTTTTCAGTGCTACGACATGACTGTGGTCGCCTCTGCTGTCAAAAGGAAGGACATTACTGTTCATCATCTTCCCATGAGCAGGCTTTGCAGACATCATTTGTCATTAAAGCAAAAGCTTTTATCTTCTGTTTTAAATGTGCTTGAATTTCTCTCAGGTGACAGAAGAGCCACTAGATGAAGTAGAAGACGACTCTAATCTCTGGAACTCTTTTGACGAAGAGGAAGAGGATGAGGGCATGGTGTTTTTTGTCTTAGAAGAAAGCACAGGTTACATGGCACCTGCTCTCAGAGCCCTGGCAGTTGTTCATACTGTCATCTCCTTTGTCTGTGTGATTGGATACTACTGCTTAAAGGCAAGTTATGAATCTTACTACTAATGTATTACTTGTTAAAGAACATTGATTATGTCCCAACGTGATTTTTTTGAGCTAATACTGGAATACCGATTTGTACCTAGTTGTTTACAAATCCTCACTATTCAGTATGTACATGTTTTCCTCACATACTCCATCTGGCATTAACTTTGTTCACAGCAGTGTGTGTGTATTACATAGTATTACAATACTGTAGGTAGATGCCACAGTTTCTAAAAATGACAAAGATGTCCCCTGTCATTTTCATAGGTCCCTCTGGTTGTATTCAAGAGAGAGAAGGAAGTAGCTAGAAAGTTGGAATTTGATGGACTGTACATAACTGAACAGCCCTCTGAAGATGACATTAAAGGACAGTGGGATCGCCTGGTTATCAATACTCCGTATGTAAAAATAAATCATTATATGCAAACTGTTTATAAATATAGCTCATTAAGCCACTGATCTAGAACCTTCCCTGTCTGCTTGCCACCTACTTCATGTAAAACAAAGGCATTCTTTCCCTTATACTGGATGCTACAGTAGTAGATTCTAATGAAATCCTACATTACCCATTTATTTCATAAATACTATCATAACATGCGTATTCCACCTCCTTTTCGTTTTTCTGAGGTTTGCAAGGCTTGTGCATCGTACCTCACAAGCTTTCTCCAAAACATCTCGCATGTTAGTCACTGCTGAGAAAAGACAACTTGCATTCTTTTCAATGATTTGGTTTCACATTCATATTGTATAGGAATATTCCCCCACCTTTCTTTTCCACTTCTTGCTTACAAAATTTGCACATGTTGAGAAACAAATCCAGTACAAAACAGCAGTCCCAGAAATTGAGTTGATCTGACAGGAATTACTGTCAGGTTATAAGCGTTAGCAAATACTGCAGTAGTCATACACTGATTCTAGGAGACTCACCTGCTGTTCTGTGGGTGAACGATGCAAGTGTAGGCAACACAAAGAAAAATCTCAGTGAGCTGCAGCACTCTATAGGAGTGACACAGAGAAACAGAGCAAGTCAACAATAGAAATTGTAATTTGAAGCGCAGTGTGCGAGTGAATGAAGTTGTACCAGAAGCTGTATTGATTGGGAACGTGGTATTTTCTTTTTTTGTTGTTGTCTTTCTTTCCCTTAACAAGTTATTTAACTTGAAATATCTTTGCCTTATCTGTATAGGTCCTTTCCTAACAATTACTGGGACAAATTTGTAAAACGGAAGGTAGGCTTTTCATACTTCTATTATGTTAGTCATAGCAATAATCTCTTATTCAGTTAATTCAGGTATCTGTGTGCAATATACTTCTGTACACATAAATACACAGATAATTGAGATCTGAATCTTGTTTTATGGAAGACATTGTCGTGGTAAATGTCTCAGTGAACAAGCAGCTGCAGCGTGGGTGGGAGGAGGGAGGAAGCCAGCAGGCTGTGGTTTCCTTCCTAGACTCAGGCATTCGAAGTAACTTTGTGCTGTCAGTCAGCCACACAGGTCTCATTTACAGTCATTGTCATCTTGAGGATACAAAGCCCCCTCATCCCCCTAAAAAAAGAAAAACATGCCAGCTTAAATGATGGCAAATTATACATAAGGTTTCAGATAATAGCCTTTAATGCTTCTGTTTATTTTTTTTAATGTTCCTCTTGCCTGGCTTCCTGGGAGTTCTGACTGTTCTAGTAGTGTTAATTGTGACTGACTTTTTTTTTTTAAATATAATTTCTGGTGAATGTCACCAAGATCTTTCGCTGAGCAAAAGCTTCTCTTTTTTCAATTTCTAGGTTATTAACAAGTACGGAGACTTATATGGAGCAGAGCGCATAGCAGAACTTCTGGGTTTGGACAAAAATGCCCTTGATTTTAGTCCAGTGGAGGAGAGTGATCCAGAAGAGGCATCTCTGGTATCATGGTATGGCTTCTGAACTTCACAGACAATTATGTGTAACTAACTTCACTGTCAAAGATCAAAAGAGATTTTATATTTAAAATGTAGTGTTTTCCTCAGCTTGGAAAATTAAAATTGAGAAGTCTTCTTAGCATGGAAGTAAAATTTTAGTTTGTTCTAAAACATACTTACACTTGTGTTATAAAAGAAAAAAAAACCGTAATGCTCTTTTCTGTTAAACAATAATCAATGCAGTATTTAAAAAAGTTTCTTAGGTTTTACAACAAACAGAGTTAGTTAGTATTGATAACAAAGTTCTAGATGTCAGGTGTCTAGAAAAGGATCAGAAATGTTTTCCTGACTTACTTAATCCATCCGTGAAGATGAGAGCTTGAATGTATTCAGGTCCCAAACAATCTAAGCTCCTGCAAGGGTTTGGTTTCCTCAACACTTAACAAATGTGAAGCGCCAAACCTAGTTTGTTGTTTATACTTACAGAATTCAATACTTAATTTTGACATTGAAGCACTTCCAAAATTTTTTATTTCCTAGGTTAAGCTCCATTGATACAAAGTACCACATTTGGAAGCTCGGAGTTGTTTTCACTGATAATGTGAGTTTGTTAACTTAAAAGAATATGCTTTGATTTACTCTAAACATGATTGTATGTCTTCCACCATCTGCTTTTATTTTAAACAAACATACACAAATAATGTTGCATTACAGAGCCCTTGTAAAATTTCTTTTTCTGTCTTGTGTTGTTGCAAATTACTTTATGTTAAAATTCAGTTCTGAAGGGCAATATGCACCTCCTTACCATTAATAAAATGCCAGTATTTGGAAGCTAAGTACATTTATTTAATTTTGTAACTAAAGGTGTCCTTTTTTAAAATCAAGCACAGAAAGTTACTCTTTTTTGTTCTTGAATTATCTGTTTGATGTGGCTGGATAATTCTTTTCTGTCACACTTCTTTAAAAGGACCACACTTTAAAAAAATTGTTTTATTTTTGTGAAATCCTCTTGAGCATTCCCAATCAAACAAGAAGGCCAAGGTGAATGAAGAGAGGACGTATAAATTCATTGCGCACTAAAAGCACACTGAGCCATTGTTCTTCAGTAAAAGCTTCAGGCTCACTGCTTGTTAAAGAATAAGCTGTATGATGTGCCTTACGCTTTCTACATGTCCTGGCCGAGGTGGTCTGAGACTTAAAGTGTCTCAAGTGATACAGTGCATTTTCTCTCCTCCAGCATCAGGACTGAAATTTAAAGTACTGTGGAACAAGCTTCTCAAGCGAAACAGTTCTAAGTAGGGGATTTCAATGTTAATAACATAGGTGCCGAGCACTGCATTTAAATATGTAAAGACACAGGTCTCATTAGCAATAAACACTCCTTAAATGAACAGCTGAACAGCGGTGATGATAACAGTCAGTCTTTTTGAACCTGTAAAACAGAGGTATTACGTTCAGCCTGTCATTCAAATCAGATCACGCTCGTATTACTCCATTTTGTAACTTGAGTGACTAAAAGCAAGCTGTGTTGTGGAGCCAAGGACGCACGCCAGTGCCTGCTCACATTCTGCCCCTCGCCGCTTTCTCTGCAGTCCTTTCTGTACCTGGCCTGGTACACCACCATGTCCATCCTCGGGCACTACAACAACTTCTTCTTTGCTGCTCATCTGCTGGATATTGCTATGGGCTTCAAGACACTGCGAACCATTTTGTCTTCAGTCACTCACAATGGCAAACAGGTTAGTGTGACGGGCAAAGGTTCAAAAATGAATGGTTTTCTTAACAGTACTTGGAAAAGCAGCTTGTGCTACCTAAGAAATACTGGAATGCGATCCATGTTGATCATGATTGGATTAAAGAATAGATCCCATCGTGTCTTCTGGAGCACATTTAACGTGTGTTAAATCCTATGAAATCATAATTTATACCCACGAAGGGCTGAGAGATAGAGAAGTTTGTGCACAATAGAAAAATCCCTCATTTTAGAAAAATACAAGAATATGTATTACGTCCTAAGCAGCTCCTTCCCTATGTTCAAGGATGAACTAATTGGAGATAACTAACAAGAATTCACCATCTGTCCTTAGCTACAGCTGGGTCCTGAGATTTCAAGAATGTGCTTACAGGTGTGGGCATTCTGCACTGTGGAATATATTTATATGTCACTTCATTATGCAAAAATCAGATTAATAAAACCCGCTTCCAGAAATAACTGTGCAACGTACACAAGCTGGCATACCACTGGAAACAAGCTTTCCACTAAAACGCTTTTTATCTTAGATTTAAGAATAACAGAACTTCCTCAAAATTTAATTTCAAGCATACACGTTCCATTCCTTCTCAAATGCAGTAGTATATATCCTAAGCCCTCTCTTTCACCCTATTCAACTTGTCAAAACAGTTTAAACCACGTAACACTTTGGAAGAGGCACAAGAATATCCCTTTAGCTTAACTCTTGATACAGCCTTTGTGTTTGCTTAATCCTTTCTTTCAGCACAAATCGACCAGCTGAAGTTTCTTCCCTTATCTGGAAAGGAAGTTTCTACAATAGCACATAGGAAAATGTTTTTATCCCCTTCATGCTCCTCCAGGATGGCCAAAGTTGTATTACTTTTAATTTAATGAGTGATATATTTTCTGTATGAGATCTTTCTAAGCGTAACACTCAAAACCGGGTATAATTGAGAAAACTATTCCAAGACCCCAGCTTTTTATATATATTCTTAACAAGCAAAGATTTTTTTTCTAATCCTGGTGCTTTTCTTGCTAGTATACAGGAACACTGAAAGGCAGCTGTAGATTTTTAAATTGAAATGCTCGCTTTGGGAGTGCACTTACAGATTAGCAGAAAGCGATAAACTGACGATCAGCTTGTTGTTCAATACTTTCAACATTTCTTTTTAAAGAGAAATAACAAGTATTGCATTTTTTTAAATGTGTAGCCTTCAGTAACCTCTCCGGAGCTGAATCTTCTAATACCAACAACTCCAACGAACAATAGAATTTCATTAACTGCTTAGCTTTTTCAGCTAAGGATTTTATTTGCTTAAAAGCAGGACCCTTTGTTCTAAAAAATTTTCTATTGATTTTATTGATGGCTTTGCGAACCAGTTTTGGAACAGAAAACAGACTATGATAAGTCATAATAAATCCTAGTTGAAATTATTTATCAAATTTACAAAAGGAGGGTACTGTTTATCATTTAATTTTCACTATATATCCAGTTTTTCAAGTTACTAGAATTTAACTTTTAGGTAGTGGAAACATTGCTTCAGTGATATGTAATCTCTGCATATAGCTCAGAAAGATGTAAATTTCAGTTCTTGATAATGGAGTGTTATTTTTTGATTTTCATGTCGAGAGCAGGGTAAAGTAATGCCTCTATGCTGATCCCAGCAGTAGGGAAACCTCAGAGCTATTGTGAGTGCTGCCTTTACTTCTCTAATTGGGGAAGGTACAATATGATACATTTTCAGTACTTCTGGCAGCAAACTGAGCTAGCTTATCTCCTCTGACAGAAAGAAACTGAAACCTGCTTTCATGTCCTGTCTCCACATGCAGCTCGTGCTTACTGTAGGACTCCTGGCTGTCGTAGTGTATCTTTACACTGTTGTGGCGTTTAACTTCTTCCGCAAATTTTACAACAAAAGTGAAGATGAAGATGAACCAGACATGAAATGTGATGACATGATGACCGTAAGTAAAACATCACTACCATGCTTCAAATCTCATCTCGATTTCTCAGAAGGATACTAACAAGTAAACTATAAGCAAGGAGGGATGGTTTTGTTGTTGAAACCCTGGGTTTCTTCATCTTGCTCTATGTCATTTAAAAATGGGAATGGTCTCAGAATTGCCTCTGCACTCACCAGTGGTCTAAACTCAACAGTAGGCAGAAGACACTCACTAGTATAGGCAGATATTCTGCATTTTTTCCCTAATTGCCGTGGTATATGCTTTGCTGTAATTCTTTTACATGTGGAGATGGCAAAGCCTTAAAGTATTTGGAAGAAATTTCATGACAAATTATTCAACCCTGCAAAAAGAAGCCATGTTGTCACAGCACAAATAAACACAGTTTGCTCCAAATGTTTGCCAGTGTGCAAGCTCTTCTTATCCTTATTTAGGTTATACAACATATATGATATTAGCACTAGTTACAAAAGCCTGCTACAAAGTGCTTACAATTAGTAATTTAGTCAAGGGTGAGAAGTGTTATTATGGATGATAATCTAATACTACTAATTTCACTTCTCATTTCCACCTGTTGCACAGAGTGTTATTTATGTCATATTAAATGATACTCTACAGACAAGTATTATGTTATGAAGAGGTTTTGATCTTACTGTATACAAAAACCAGCACACATTCAGATATTACAAATCTAATATTCAGAGTCTGTGGCCAGCTCCTTTCTTCCATGCAACAGTCACTTTGCCCTGTTATATAATAAGATAGAACAAAATATCTCAGAACAGAGGTGTGTGGTGGACTTCGCAAAATTATCTTCCCTATTCTTGAACTTTCTTTCAAACATTCAGTGCAAATGATAGAAATTATGAAAATAATACTGCCTGGGCACCTTAACTGGTCCCTCTGTGAAGTGGACACAATGGTCTGGTCGTGAAATAGATGCAGGAGTAAAAGGAATAATGAAACTATATTACATTTTAAACCACTCTACCAAGTGAGCTAAATCATTTCCAAGTTACAATTTTAAGTAATTAAACTAATCCTGGCATCTTATGTCAGCAGTGAAGTTGCATTATAAAAATGGATCTATAGTTCTGTTTAGCATTTGCTTATGAAAAAACAGATTTGTCAGACCTTAGGCTGATTACTTAACACTGCCATTGCTGCCTAATGTGACTTCAGGACATGGGCTGGGTTTAGAGATTTCCATTGTTTTCAACCCACATTGTGTGACTGAAGGTGGTTTACAAGATTCTGTGGCCAATTCATATGGGAACATCAGCAGTATCTCACTCCGACAGAAGATTCCATTTTAATATGCTTACATAGCTTAAACACGGAGATTTTTAAAGATTTTTCCATTAAGACTTGTATGTTCAAAAAATGACATTTTTGCAAAGCGATTTCTTCCTCATCCAACTGAATACAGGCTGTGTTTCTCAGATTATAAATAATTTGCAATATACTAAATCAGACATCTACTGTTGCAAAATGAAATTATCCAGAAACGACCTAAACACAGATAGAGCTACTTGTTGTGTGTCACTATTTATTTTCTGGCAGTATTTGCCAACATTTCTAAATTCAATTAGAAGACCTTAGATGATGTCCTCTGCTTACTCAGAGCAAGCTAGAACCGTAAGAATTAATACAAGGGGTAGAATATAGTTGAATACACTAAAAAATACAAGAAAAATGCCCCCAAAAGGTCTTAGTCTGTAAGACTGACCAAGGGAGTGAGGAGGGTAACAGCTGATGGTGACTCCCCCTCTTAGTGAGTGCACTAGAAGATGTAACCATGTGTTGCCTGATCTAGTTGAGAGGTGTTGCTGCCCATGACAGGGAGGTTGGATTAAATGATCTCTAAGGTCCCTTCCAGCCCAGGCCATTCTATGATTCTATGAAATTAGGACATAAACAGATTTTTAGTGCAAAGTGTGTGATACAAAACAACCCACCAAGCCGAATCATTCATGGTAAATATATTTGTAATTTTTCTTTCTCTTTTTTAGTGTTACCTTTTTCACATGTATGTGGGTGTAAGAGCTGGCGGTGGCATTGGAGATGAGATTGAAGATCCTGCTGGAGACCCTTATGAAATGTATCGAATTGTCTTTGACATTACATTTTTCTTCTTTGTCATTGTTATCCTACTGGCCATTATTCAAGGTACTGTCACTTACCTTCGTAGAGACCATTGGAATTTAGTTTACTGAAGTTCTGCAATGTATTGAAACCGTATCTGTGTCTGAGGTAAATTTAGCAATACTTCTATAAAGACTTTTTTTCTGAGCTGATAAAATCATTAATTCTTGAAGTAGTAATTTTATAAACTGACCTAAGGCTGTTAGGAAAAAACACTGTGTTAATGGCAATCTGGTGACAAAGCAAAAAATGTAATACATCTATACTGAGAATAAGTTACGAATGTCACAGTCTCCAGAATGATCCAACTCTGTTCTTCCTAAGTAGGAAGTGGAGGGGTGCATTGTCAGCAAACATTAGGTGTCTAGAAACTGATGATTGTAACTCGGATTGTTCAGCCTAGACATAAGTATGCTGAACTCCAAAAAGACGGGAGTCTTTGGACATTACCTGAAATGTGAATATTGCTAATTACTGAAGTGTTGCTACTTTTTCATTCAAAATAGGTCTCATTATTGATGCTTTTGGTGAATTAAGAGACCAGCAAGAACAAGTGAGAGAAGATATGGAGGTATGATTAAGCACACTATGTTTTTCGTTACTCTTATTACTCCAGATTGTTACCAGTTAAAATACTGTCTTTGAGTTAAAAATCACTTGTATAACCACAACTTGTGTTTCCAGACCAAATGTTTCATTTGTGGAATTGGCAATGACTATTTTGACACAACCCCACATGGCTTTGAAACACATACTTTGCAAGAACACAACCTGGCAAACTATCTGTAAGTATATTTTACTACTGGAATTAGAGTACTAATTTTTAGCTCTAGAGTAATTTCAGTGCACACACTGCTGACCATCCTAAGACAGAATTCTGTAGAACTGAGGAATATCTCCATTCCTTTCTGGTCTCTAGAAAACCAAAACATCAACCACTACAAAAAAAGCATTTCTGGAAGATTAACTACAAAAATAATGTATAAGTCTGATTCTATAGTTCTTCAGTGAGAGTGCAGCTTTCCAAAACCTGAAAGCAAGCAGGAGCTCTGTGTTTAGACTACTGCCCAGGCTCCCAAGATAGGGATCTTCTATTTCAATAGTAAATACAGAGCCGATCAAACAGGATATTTAAGCAGGTTTTTTGGTGGCATTAGTTACTCCTGCAACAATGATAATTATACAAGTTTTGTGCCAGAAGAACCACAGGAGCTGAACTGGTGGTATCTCATAGAAGTCTGGCTTTGGAATACTGCATGTAGACTTTTAATTAAAATTAAAAAAAAGAAAAAAAAAGTGCCCCCTGGGGTGGAGGCTGCATCATACCTTGCATAGCAAGTGACACTGCCAAGTCAATGCACGTCACTTTTGTGAGGCAAATTTCCATTAACATCCATAATTTTACCAGTCTAAAACATCCAAGCTTTTCTTATGATACTGAATTGCTTAATTGATATTTGGGAACCTGTAATTCACAGTAAATTTAAAACAGCCATTTCCTTAAGATTAGGATATACAGTGAACAGTCTTTGTAACCGGGCTGCCCTTCAAGTGGTGGTTAAAGGTCAGTACACATTCCCTTCTTTACAGTGAAAGCACATACCACGTTTAATTCCAAACGCGCTGTACCAGCAGCAGGTATCCAGGAGCTGTGCGAGGTGTGAACGCCGCAG